CACCGTGTCCAGCCACCACAGCCTTTCTTGATTAGAATACTGCGTGTGATGCCAGACAGATGTGATGATAGAGACCAAATCCAGTTGGGAAGTTGATTTAAACCCACAGCCACCAATGAGTGTACTAAGAACTTGGGATGAGATGACGACATGGTTAGGCTTTGTGTCCACACCCAAATTTCAATTTGAATTGTAATCTCCATAATCCCTATGTGTCAAGGGAGGGACCAGGTGGAGATAATTGAATCATGGTGGCATTTTTTTCCCCACATCCTGTTCTCATGGTAGTGTGTAAGTTCTCATAAGATCTGGTGGGTTTTAAGGGGCTGTTCCCCATTCACTTGGCACATCTCCTTTCTGATGCTTTGTGAAGAAGGTGCTTTTCTTCCCCTTCACCTTCTGCCATGATTGTAAGTCCTCCCCAGCCATGCTAAACTGAGTCAGTTAAACCTCTTTCTTTGGTAAATTACCTGGTCTTGGGCAGTTCTTTCTAGCAGTATGAAAATGGACTAACACTATACAAAAGGATATTTTTAAAAAGCTAAAGGTCAGGGATAGGCATGAGGACTGAGAGTGGGACAGTGAGGACAGTTACAGGCTACATGGGGATGACAGCTGCATTCAGTGAGGAGGAGAAAGGTGCTAAGCTAGAATGATTGGCAGGAAGACAGCGAGATGGCCATAGTTCCTGATCTATTAAAAGTTTGTGAATTGACAAGTACATTTGTTGAGGAAAGATGTATTGAACATATTCTATGTGTTGGGCACTGCTGCGGGTAGTTTTATAGAGATGCTCTTATTTTGTCTTTTTTTTTTTTTTTTGAGTTTTCCCTTTCAACAGCCATTTGAGGTATTACTCATTTTTTATAAGTAAATAAGTGAAACCCAGTGAGTTTAAGTAATTTGCTGAAGATTATTCCGCTAGTAAGCCAATGGGCTAGAAATTAAACACAAATTTATCTCACTCTGAGTTCATGTCTTTTATTTCATTTTATGCTTTAAATTTAGTTTTGCCATTTATCAAGGTTGTAGATGCACATAGTTTGATGGGTCAAATAGTGCTGTAAGTCTGAAGAAGTCTTCACTTCCTTCTCCCATTTTCCAAACACAATTACTTCAACCAATTTACAAAGGCAATTGATCACTTAGGCATTGTAGACAATTAGGAAATCTTTCTCTTTTACATTTTACGTTTCTGCCCCAATACATCCTTTTATAGTCCTTTTCTCATTAAAGTTATATCATGATTTTGGTTAGAGCAATTTTCAATGTTTATTTTATTCTGACTGTCCCCTTTCCTTTCCAGTAAAATATTTTATTTTTCTTCAAGTTAACAAAGGTGCTCCTTCTTCATTTGCTTAGTTTTTCTATGTATCTATCATTGATTCAAATGTCAACCCTCCTCTTAGGGTTTAAGTCTCCCTTCCATATATTCAAGTTCATCCATTGGATATTCCATCACTTTTATCTCTCCCTTCCGACTTGCTCTATCTGGACTGTCTGCCCAATAGGCCCTACATATTACTATCCTCTTTATCATCCTTCCACTGTTATCCTGGATGCTCCCTTAATCTCTCTTGAGTTGGATCCCTGTTTCCTAGATTCTGTAGCTTCTTTTTTTCCTAGTTCCCCCCAAATTTTGGTGGAGCATCCTGTAGCAATTTTCTGAGGAAAAAAATAAGTATATTAAAAACACATTTTAAAAATCTTATATGTACATTGTAAAAAAAAATAGTAAAAATATTTTTATTCTATTCAAACTTGGATCAACATTTTTAGCTAAGCATAGGATTCCAAAATTGGAATTCTCTCTCAGAATTTTGAAGGCATGGCTCCATAGAATTTTCACTTTCCAGTGAAAAATCTTTCAGTCTTTAGCTGTGGTTGAGATTTTCTTCTGGGTCCAAAGCTGTGATCAGAAAAAGGAATCAGGAGTTCTAAGTCACTTTTTTTAAAAAGGGATAATTTATATATGGTACCATGCACAAATTTTAACTGTAGAGGTTGCTGAATTTTTACACATGTATACACCTGTGTAATTGTTATCCAGATCAAGATACAGAACTTTTCCAGCATTCTATAAAGTTTCCTTATGCCTCTTCTCAGTTAATTCCTCTCTCTCCCTGCAGGAGTAACCACTGTTCTGATGTTTTTCTACCATAGGTTCAGTTTATGTGTTCTAGAAACTTTTTTTATATGTAATCATACAACATGTGCTCTTTTGTCTCTGGCTTCTTTCAGTCAATATAAGGCTTCTGAGATTCATCTATGTTTTATATGCATCAGTTTGTTTTTATTGTTGAGTTTCATTCCACTTATGAATGTACTACAATTTGTTTATGCATTTTCTGTTCTTGGTATTTGGGTTCTTTCCAGTTCGGGGAAGTTATGAGCAAGTGCTATGAACATTCTCGTATCTGTTTTTTTGTGGACGTGTACAAAGGTCGTAGAGTGGTATAGATTTAACTTTGTTAGAAACTGCTGGTCATTTTCCATTGTGGTTGTATCATTTTCTAATTGTTTCTGTAATAGACTCTTGATCAGTTCTATTTTGAGGCTCACTTTCATTCAAAGAGTACCTGGTGCCACCGTTTCTGAACATCTGGGGAGACTAAAGAGTAAATCATTTTGAGTTTTGGTTTTCTTCATTGCTATCATGGTATGCAGTTTTCTCAGGAGCACTGAGTCAGTGCACACTTGTCCACCAACTTTCTATCTTCCAACATTTTGTTGCTGTTCTCATGTTCTCTCTGTCCTTAAGGATTTCTGCTTTAAAAATATTTTCTTTTCCCGTCATTTTAGTGACTTTTCAGAAACTAGTAGAGCTACATGCTTATGCGGAATTCACCACTTAAAACATATTCACTTTTAAACTATTCTGCCTTCCCACAGGTACTGGAATTATTTATTTATTTAAACCTGCACAGTGAGTTTTAGTCGCATCTTGAGATTGAAGCAGTGGGGAAGTAAGGAGCAAAGTAAAAGCCCTTAGGCGGTAGAGAAAGGTCAGCCTATTTAAAGAGTGAAATCTTGTATCAAAAAACCATTCAACAATACCAAGCTGTGATAGCCATAATTATTTAATGATGATATGTGACAGAGATTATGAAGAAATTTTAGCAGGGAGGGATAGGCAAATTGAAGGTGATGTTGCTTCTTGATAGCCCAGGTTCTCCAAACATTCTTTCATTGGGTCAGTTAATTGAGACTTGGAATGAACTGGGGGCACAATTGCCAGAGATCAGAGCTGAGGTGAATTCAAAATAGTGAATTGAAAAACATAATTCATTTTGCATAAAGGCACCTGGTGTAAGTATCATAAAATAGTCATGATTCAAATTAATTACAAAAAATAAGAAAAAGCATAGAAGACTTAACTCATAGTGACGGTTAATACTGAGTGTCAACTTGATTGGGTTGAAGGATGCAGTGTGTTGATCCTGGGTGCATCTGTGAAGGTGTTGCCACAGGAGATTAACATTTGAGTCAGTGGACTGGGGAAGGCAGATCCACCTTTAATCTGGGTGGGCACCATCTAATGAGCACCCAGCAAATAGAAAGCCGGCAGGAAAGTGTGAAAACGCTAGACTGGCCTAGCCTCCCAGCTTACATCTTTCTCCTGTGCTGGATGCTTCCTGCCCTTGAACATTGGACTCCAAGTTCTTCAGCTTTGGGGCTCAGATTGACTTCCTTGCTCCTCAGCTAGCAGATGGCCGATTGTGGGACCTTGTGATTGTGTGAGTTAATACTACTTAATAAACTCCCCTTTATATATATATATATATCTCCTATTGGTTCTGCTCCTCTAGAGAACCCTGACCAATACACTCATGTTGGCAGTCCCCATGAGAGCACTAGCTCTTTGGATCTTGGATTTTGCAGTGTATCCTGGAATGATTGGATTTTGCATCTTACTCTTAAAGACCACAGGGCGATGTGGGGCAAGCCCTCTACTTTTTGGCTCCCAGTATCTCCCACAGTCTAAAACACAAGTTTTGGAAAGGCAGTTTTCTGTCAACTTTGTGTTTTTCTGTTTCTTGAGAGTAAACCCCAGTGATGCATTGGCTTCAGTAGAATTCAGGAGCAGTAACCCATAGTGTTCACTTCACTGGGCAAGTGATGATTAATTTGAAATGAGAACAATAGGAATGAGACTTAACAAGCAGGAAAAAATTAGGTTAAATATTAATATAAGAAAAAATTTTATAGAGAATTTGTATTAGTCAAGCTCCCAGCAGGAAACAGGTGGCACAATACAATTATAATTGACAAGTGGTTCATAAAGGGACAACTCACAAAGGTTCGTGCTGGATATGGGGAATGGTGAAGCTGTTAACCTTTCTAAGCCTACAGGGAAGAGTGGGGGTGGTGGTAAAAATCTGGGAGTCAGAGTCATGTACAGAGGATCCCTGAGAGCCTGTGTTGCTTTCCTTTGAGAGACACAGCCAGCCTGAGGCTGCAGGGAAGGAACTAGGGGAATAACTCCCCCAGCCTCACTTTCTTCCCTCCCTGTGGTCTTTCTGCTAGGGGTCCCTATTGGTTGAGACTCACTGGAGACCAGAGTGCAGAGTAGCTCCCCTGAACCAGTCTGCATAAATCAGCCTTTCCCATGGGTAGACTAAAGGGAGAGTAAGTGTGGAGAGAGGCTGTGGCAGGGCAAATAGGAGATGTCCCACACGTAGATGTCAGTGGTCCAGTGTAGAGTGAGTTTCTAAAGTACGCTGCAGACATCATTCTTTTTGGACAACATTTGGATATAATATAACTGCAGATTTATCTTACAATTTGAGTGTCCTTTCCGGCTGCCATAAATTCAGATGTCACAGGCAAAAGAATGAAATTTTGATACCAAACCTAGCGAAATGTGTTCTATGAAATTGACTTTGTAATAACAAGGTGCCCCTGCAAAGAGGAAATACCCATCAATAATAAAACTGTGTGCATTGTATTTTGCAGTTTACAAAGGACTTTCATATAAATCATTTTATGTGACTCTCACAATAATCTCGTGAGGTAAGTGGGAAGATCGATCCACTTAATGGATGAGAAAAGTCTCACAGAATTAGCCTAAGATATCACAGCAAACAAGTGGGAAAGCCTGAATTTGAGCCAGGTCTCCAGATTTCAGATTCAGGTCAACACCTGCCCTGTGTGACCTGCACAGGAAGTTGAGGGTTGCAGGGCCAGAGACCCTGAAGCTGCTGAGAGGCGAAGCTGAGCAAGGCCTTTTTTTTTTCAAGATGGAATCTCGTTGTTGCCAGGCTGGAGTGCAGTGGTATGATCTCGGCTCACTGCAACCTCCACCTCCTGGGTTCAAGCGATTCTCCTGCCTCAGCCTCCTGAGTAGCTATCACTACAGGTGTGTGCCACTACACCCAGCTAATTTTTTTTTTTTTTTGTATTTTTAGCAGAGATGGAGCTTCACCATGTTGGTCGGCCTGGTCTCGAACACCTGATCTCAGGTAATCCACCCGCTTTGGCCTCCCAAAGTGCTGGGATTGCAGGTGTGACTCACCACACCTGGCCTATTTTTATTTTTTGCTTTCTGAGACAGGATCTTGCTCTGCTGCCCAGGCTGGAATGCAGTGGTGCAATTATAGCTCACTGCAGCTTCAACATCTAGTGCTCAAGCATTCCTCCTGCCTCAGCCTCCCAAGTAGCTGGGACCATAGGTGAATGCCACCATGCCCAGCTAATTTTCTAATTTTTTTTTTTTTGTAGAGACAGAGATGGTGGGGGGAGTGAGAGGTGGGGGGTCGAGAGGTTTGGCAGGGGCGGGGGGGTTGCTATGTTTCCCAGGCTGGTCTAGAACTCCTGGGCTCAGGTGATCCTCCTGCCTCCCACAGCTCTGGGATTCCAGGTGTGAGCCACCAGAGGGCCTCCATAGTTAGTTCTGTCATCCCTTCCCCGAAAATCTTCTGCTGCAGCCTGGCCCCACGTTATTTGACTCTGAAATGCTATATATATACACAGCACTTCTAACTCCACTGCTTTGCAGAAACCTTTAATAATTGTCCATTATAATATGCCCACAGAAAAGTGCATAAGACGTACAGGTAAGCTTAGCAAAGAATTGGATAGTGGGCAACACTTCCCCACCAAGCCCTCGGTAAAGACAGAGCACAGCATCCCAGAAGCCCCCAATATCCCCTGTCAGTCATGACCACAGTTGTGAGTGCTCTCCTGACCTTGGTGGTCACTGTGTACTTGCTTTTCCTGATAGTTTTTACCATGAGGTGTATATGCTTTAATTGCAGAATGTCATCGTGCCTGCTTTTGAACTTGACATAAATGGAATCTTCCAGTATGTCCTTGTCTGTACCTTCTTTCACCCTTAGGCCTGTGAGATCCGTCCGTGTGCTGTGTGTATCTGTAGTCATTCTTCTTTGTTGCTGTGTAATATTCCTTTTTTTTTTTGAGACTCCAGCCTGTTGCCCAGGCTGGAGCACAGTGGCATGGTCTTGGCTCACTACAGACCCTGCCTCCTGAGTTCAAGTGATTCTCCTGCCTCAGCCTCCCAAGTAACTGGGATTACAGGCACACACCAACATGCCTGGCCAATTTTTTTTGTTTTGTATTTTTAGTAAAGACTGGGGTTCACCATGTTGGCTAGGCCTGATCTTGAACTCCTGACCTCAGGTGATCCACCTGCCTCAGCTTCCCAAAGTGCTGGGATTACAGGCATGAGCTGCTGCACCCAGCCCTGTATAATATTCTGTTGCTCCAACTCCTGTAGCATGGGTGTGAGCCATCTCTTTGTAGCATCACCTGGGGTGCCAGTGCGTGTGTTTCTTCAGGGAATATACCTTGGGAGTGCATGGCCCAGGGCAGAGGGTAGTGTAGCTTCACATTTAGTGGATGCTGCCACCCAGCCTCCCAAGTTGGTTGTATCTGTGTGTGCTCCTAGTAGTGGTGACAGGATCTTAGTTGCTCCACCTCCTTGCCAACATTATGTACTGTCAGACTTTTTAGTTGACTTTGGAACATTTTTTTTTTCTGCAAAAGTAACCCCACTGGTTATCATCGGGCTAAGCCCCTTGTGTTATTTTCTCCTCCCCATGCTCCTGTCCGCTCCGGTTCTCACCCATTCTGTGGACAGGAGTCAAGCGCTTATTCTTTTTTCTTTGAGATGGAGTCTTGCTCTGTCACCGAGGCTGGAGTGCAGTTTCTCGATCTTAGCTCACCACAACCTCTGCCTCTCAGATTCAAGGGACTCTTCCCTCAACCCCTCAAGTAGCTGGGATTACAGGCATGTGCCACCATGCCCAGCTAATTTTGTAGTTTTAGTAGAGACGGGGTTCTACCATATTGGCCAGGCTGGTTTCAAACTCCTGACCTCAAGTGATCTGCCTGTCTCAGCCTCCCAAAGTGCTGGGATTACAGGCGTGAGTCACCATACCCAGCCCAAGTGCATATTCTTTGACCAGCCTTGTGCGAGGGCCCAGTGACCCAAGGGTGAACCCAAACAACAGGCAGCCCTCCCTGCACTCAGCCGGGCAGGGAACACAGACCCCGACCAAAGAGCGACAGAGAGACAGCCGGACTGGAGGCTCTCAGCCCCTGCCGTCCCTCAGTGACCCCATTTTGGGAGCAGGTTACCTCTATCCCTCATCTTGTTTCAGGAACAGGCTTCTCTGAGTCTGGCATCACCCTGACTCCTTTCTTGTCTCCTCCGCATCCAAGTATCCAGAAAGCCTGTGGCTCCCCCTGAGAACATAGCCTGGCGCTTCCTACTCTTCTTCCTCATCACCCCCCTTCCTCATCATTCCCTAGTTCAAGCCACCCTCATCTCCCTCCTGGACCATTGAGGCAGCCTCTCTGCTCTCTCCTCCACCACTGTCCCCACACAGCCAGAGGGAGCCGGGCACAGTTGAGTAGGGCAGGAACCCTTTCCTGGCTGTGAGTCTCCCAAGAGAGAAGTCTGCCAGGCCCCAGGCGACCTGGCCACTTTCCTGTCTGCCTCCTTCCCTCCTCTCCTGCCACCATTCCTGGAACATTCCAGGTGGGTCCTACCTGGAGTCCTTTGTCCTTGCTGCCCCCTGGAGACAGTACCCTCCCTTCCTCCATCCAGGCAGCCTCTGCTGATGGTGGCCTCCCTTGGGGAGACCTTTCTTCCCTGCCGTGGGTCACCAGGAGCAGCCCCTGTCACCTTCTCTCTAGTACCCCCCCATGATGGTTACTTACCTTGTGACGTATGGGTCTGTTGGTTTATTTCATCTCCTGGCATAACTTGGCCTCAGGGCACTGGGGTAGGGGTAGAATAGCAGGGCCTTGCCCTGCATCTTGCTGTGTTCTCAGGGATTGTGGTGTTGAGGTCTCTGGGTAAATGTTGATTGATTGACTGGCTGACTGACTGAACTGTCGTAAGCCAGGCTGCCGAGTGTCTAATGGGGACCCTCCCTGGGTAGAGCACAGCAGGCAGGTTTTTTCCTGAGGAGGAAGTGCCACTCAAAGGAGGAACTTGGCCTCGGCTAAGGGAAGAGGAGGCTGAGGCAGCTGGCAGAACAGAGGTCTCTGGGTGGGGGAGTGCAGGGGGCCTTTGAGGAATTGAAGACGGATAGGTCGGTTCTTGGGTTGGTCTGGATTCCAGTCTTGACAGCCGCTTGAGCCTCTCGGGGCTGCTTCAGGTGTTCCTGGACATCCCTGAAGTTCTGCTCCTGACATGCTTATCCTGGTTCCTGACGCATCAATATAAGTGTAATTGTTATTTTTTTCCAACCAATTCAGTGGAGTGCTGGCCCGAGGTGGTGGGTAAACAGACTCAGTTGCTACCCATTTAGAGCCTGGCCTCTGGAGCCATCTGGGCACTCCTGCTTGGAGGCAGGGGAAGGCCTGGTGTGACCTTGGGCCCGGGGAGTCCTTATTCTGGATTCGGAAGATGATTCTGGATCATCTTCAGGGTGATTCCTAGGGAAGATGAACGGAGGGTTTGCGCATGCTGGCCCTGTGTCCGGCCAGTGCTCCCAAGCTGCTGCCTGGGCCTCCCTGAAATCCCAGGAGGTGGCTGCACCCGTGTGACCCATTTCACAGATTAGGAGGTGAGGGTGGCACCAATGGTACGTCCTTGGCCCATTTTGCAAACTAGAGCAGATCTGGTGGTATCTCCTCCGTGGTCTGATGTGCATTTTTCTGGTAGCCAGTTAGGTGGGGAGCTTTCATATGTTCATCAGGACTCCTGTGAAGGAAGGGACTTCAGGGCACTTTCCTTTTTTTTTTTTCTTTTTGAGAGAGAATCTCACTCTGTCACCCAGGCTGGAGTGCTGTGGCGAGATCTTGGCTCACTGCAACCTCCACCTCCCAGGTTTAAGCAATTCTCCTGCTCAGCCTCCTGAGTAGCTGGGACTACAGGCACATGCCACCACACCTGGCTCACTTTTTGTATTTTTCGTAGACACAGGGTTTCATCATGCTGGCCATCCTATTCTCAGTTGTTTTTGTTTTGTATTTTTGTAGAGATGGGATTTCACCACATTGCGGTGGCTGATCTTGAACTCCTGAGCTCAAGCCAGTCTCCCAAAGTGCTGGGATTACAGGTGTGAGCCACTGTACCCAGCCCATGCTTGACTTTTTGTAATTCCCTTTGCATATTAAGCATCTTGTCAGTGTATGTACATGTGTGCTTGTGCACACACCCAACACTGAGTCTCTCAATTCATGAACGCGGTATGTCCCACCATTTGTTTATGTCTTCTCATTCATACTTTTCCAGCTGAGGCCTTGCCCGCCTCTTCTGGGGTTTGTCCAAAGGTATTTCATGATGTGGTGGGGGTCTGTGCCCTCCACTCCCATGAGATGCTTTGCACCATAGGTTTGGCCTTGCTGGGGGAGGACCTCATGGTTGTGGCAGGAGGCCACTTCTCCCGTTCTCTGCTTCTTCCCTGACACCACCCCTGTACCCTGACAGAGGGTGGGCAGAGCACCCAGAAAGAAGGCTATAATTTTCCTGAACGATTTCAAGGGCTAATTAAAGGTTTGCCTTGACTAATCAGCTTACGGTTTAATTGTCAGGGAACAGGCTCTGGGATGCAGGAAGCACCTCAGCTGGGGTCTCCCCACAGCATGGCAGGAAGGAGCCAGGGTCCCTCCCTACACTGTGGGGGTGGCAGGATACGGGGATACCCCAGCACCCTCCAGTGAATCAGTGGGGGTTTCTCCATCCTCCTTCGTGCTGTGACAGGTGGAGGATAGCAGGTGCAATGGAGATGACAGCCGATTCCTCCCCTTATTCTCATAATTTCCCAGAGCCCCCTGCCAGGGAGGGGCCGGCCCTCCCCGCTTGCCTGCAGCACCCCAGCCTCTCTGGCCTTTGTGGAGTGCTCTGACTTCATTTATTCTGTGGCTCTTGTCTTTAAGGTCAGCACCTCTGGGAAGCCTCAGGCCTCCCTCCTGCCAGAGCTGGAGATCAGCCTTAAGGCCCCTTGCCAGCTCTGGGGATCACGGTTGTTCATCCACTGCTCCTCCTGCAGACACTGAGAAGTACACTGAGGGGGATGCCTGAGTTGGGCCAGTGTCGGGGTACCCAGCAGGACAAAGGGTTTGGGACTGGAGCTCCAAGAAGGGGGCTGGGAGGGGATGTTCAGGCCCGGAGGACTGAGTGATGGCTTGGAAGCGGCTGGACCAGCAGTGGTTCCTGGGAGTTTGTGAAGCGGGAGGGAACCCTGGAGATGGCCATGGCAGGCCTGGCTTCATTCCTTGCCTTATTCAGCGGGCCCCAGACTCCGCCCTAGGTGGGGGAGGGTGAGCTGGAGAGGGCCTTCTGGGCACTGTCCCCCCATCACTTTGTCTCAGTCTCACTTTACAACCTCCCCTACCCAGGCCTCGGGGCTGGATCTGCCCTCCTGCCCACTCCCCAATCTCTTCCTCACCCTTTGGCTGCACCTTATGGTCACCTGGGATGGGGAGGGTTCACTGCAGAAGCCCAAGCTGGACCATTTGATGCTGACTCTCCAGCTGTGGGGTCTGGGCCTGGGGTTTTCAATGCTCCCGTGGTGACTCTAACATGCTTCTGAGCCAGGGTGAGAGCTACCGACTTGCAGGAATGGCAACGCGTTTTAGCTTTTGGCGTGTTCTGGGTGCTTTTTGAAGCTTCTGACATGGAGGGGTTAAGTCACGGCATGCCACAGGGACGAGTGACTATGATTCTTGTGTTCCAGACAAGGCAACTGAGGCCCAGCAAAGGCCTCCGAGTGGGGCACTGCAGCCTCTGTCTCTGTCTTATCTTCCCATTTCTGGTCTGTCAGACATCTGTCTGGGTCTTCTCCATTTCACTCATCTCCATCCCTGCTTCTCTGCCTCTTATCTCCCTCCCCCACCCCACCCCTGCCTTTCAGCTTCCCTCCTCCCCTGGCAGAAGCTTCCCAGATTTCTTTTCTTTTTTTTTTTTTTTTTTTACTTATTTTTTTTGAGACAGCAGCCCACTCTGTTGCTCAGGCTGGAGTGCAGTGCCGTGATCTTGGCTCACTGCAACCTCCACCTCACAGGTTCAAGTGATTCTCCTGCCTCAGCCTCCCGAGTAGCTGGGATTACAGGTACCTGCCACCATGCCCTGCTAATTTTTATATTTTTAGTAGAGATGGGGTTTCACCATGCTGGCCAGGCTGGTCTCGAACTTGGGGTGGTCAGGAAAGGAGTCCTTGCTGCTCTGAGAACTGAAGGAGGGGAGGGGCAGCCCTGTGCCGGCACTGGGAAGTGAGCTCCAGGCAGAGGGACCAGCCCCTGTAAAGGCCCTGAGGTCTCCAGGGGATAAGAACAGAGAGGCTGAGATGTACAACAGCTGCCTGGTGGGGGATGAATTCTGGTTGGTCATGGAGTTCCTGGAATGAGGCGCCCTCAAAGACATTGTCACCCACACCAGGTGCTGCCGGGGCCTCAGACTCCTCCTGTGACATGAACAGGTCCCTTCCAGATTGCTTGGGTTGGAGCCACATCTCCAAACCAGCTGTGCTGCATCCCCCTTGACCCCCCGGGCATGGGGTCGTGTCTTCCATTCCTCCAGCTCCAGAGTGACATCAAGCTGTCTTAGGTTTCTCCCAGCCCAAGGCAGGGCTTCATTCCCCTCAGCCCTTGGGGGGCTGTCCACCCACCTGCTCACCCCCACCAGCAGGATGAACGAGGAGTAGATCTCGGCCGTGTGCCTGGCAGTGCTGCAGGCCTTGTTGGTGCTCCACAACTAGGACATCATCCACTGAAACATCAAGAGTGACTCGATCCTGCTGACCCCTGATGGCAGGGTGAGGGGACAGGCGGTGGGCTGCGGGGGGTCGGGGTTCCAACGGCAGGGCTTCCCTGTCTCTCCCCATCCCCTTTGAGGGTAGGTAGGCTCAACCCCCTAGGCCTGTGTCGAGGATCTGGGACTTCATCTGTCCCTGATGCAGCCCAGAGTCGGGCTCCAGCTCTTTGGGGGCTCTGTACAGTGGGAGGACACAGGCTGGTGGGGGCTTTGCAGTGGGAGAACACAGGCTGGCAGGGGCTCTGCACAGTGGGAAGACACAGGCTGGTGGGGGCTCTGTGCAGTCAGAGGGCACGGGCTGATGGGGGCTCTGCGTAGTCGGAGGGCACGGGCTGGTGGGAGCTCTGCACAGTGGGAGGGCACGGGCTGGTGGGGGCTCTGCGCGGTGGGAGGACACGGGCTGGTGGGGGCTCTGCAATGGGAGGACACAGTCTGGTGGGGCCTCTGTGCATTGGGAGGGCACGGGCTGGTGGGGGCTCTGTGCATTGGGAGGGCACGGGCTGGTGGGGGCTCTGTGCATTGGGAGGGCACGGGCTGGTGGGGGCTCTGCAGTGGGAGGACACAGTCTGGTGGGGCCTCTGTGCAGTGGGAGGACACAGGCTGGTGGGGGCTCTGTGCAGTGGGAGGACACGGGCTCCTCGGGGCTCTGTGCAGTGGGAGGACACAGGCTTGTGGGGGCTCTTCCATCAGCACTGGATGCTGGGCCCAGGGGCAGGGTTCTGGGCAGACAGCGCAGCCCCCACCACAGGCTTCTCTCTCCACTGAAAAGCCACTGCCTGCCCAGCTCCGAGGTTGGGCCATGAACCCAGCCCTATCTCCCATACTTTGGACTGAGGTTCTGAACCCCAGGCTGTGGCAGGGTGGACGTGACTTTCTGTAGGAAAGGGCCCTTGACTCCAATGAAATTCTTGCAGAAGTGTATGACTCCATCCCATCCCCCAAGGAAAATAAAACGGCACCAGTCAGTGTAGGCAGAGGCAGAGAGAGCTCTTTCACTGACAGTCCGTGGAAATCTCAGGATGTCCACAGATATGTTTTGGGGGTGATGTCTGTAGGCCACCTGAGATTGTCCTCCCATGGTTGTGGGGGTATTCTCTGGAGACAAGAAGACCCATAGAGATCCTCAAAATTCAGAAAGTGGGCCAGGTGCAGTGGTTCACACCTGTAATCCCAACACTTTGGGAGGCCGAGGTGGGCGAATCATGAGGTCAGGAGTTCGAGACCACCCTGACCAACATAGTGAAACCCTGTCTCTAGTAAAAATACAAAAAATTAGCTGGGCGTGGTGGCAGTCGCCTGTAATCCCAGCTACTTGGGAGGCTGAGGCAGAATTGCTTGAACCTGGAAGGTGGAGCTGCAGTGAGCCAAGATTGCACCATTACACTCCAGCTTGGAATACAGAGCAAGACTCTATCTCAAAAAAAAAAATCATAAAGGGGCCCACAGTTCCTAAGAAGGTATGGGGGGCCTGGTTGTTGTAGAGGTGGGCTATGGCCCCTCACAGACCCAGAGCAGGGCTGCCTTCCTCTCCAACCCAACACAAGATGCTCCAGGGCAGCAGGGCCCCAGGGCCCCAGGGCACAGGCTTTCAGGGCCACCGGTTCCCAACCCCACCTGGCCTTTGCTGTCTGCAGTACTCAGGCTCCCAAGAGCCCTAGAGGCCATCAGGCAGGGAGATGGGGGGATCCTGTTGGAGGTGAGTCACCCGAGAGCCCCCACCAGGAGGTGGTAGAACTCCCCAGTGGTCTGGCTCTGGAGCCCAGCTCTGACCTCTGGGCTGCACATCGTGTCTGAAGCTGAGGAATTACACAGGCAGACGCCCCTGCTCACCCTTCCGCTGTGCCAGCTCTGCTGACCCCACTGCCTCTGTCCTGCCCCAGGTGAAGCTGTCAGACTTCGGGTTCTGTGCCCAGGTGAGCAAAGAAGTGCCCTGGAGGAAGTTGCTGGTCGACAAACCCTACTGGATGGCCCCAGAGCTCATCTCCCGCCTTCCCTATGGGCCAGAGGTGAGCCCCAGGGTGGCTTGGTTGTCCTGCTGTTGGCAGCTCTAGTCCAGCTGCAGTGCTGGCGGGAGGTGGGGCTCAGCCTGGGGAGTGGTTGCCAGGAATGGTGCTCTGGATGAGGAGGTACTGCAGGCATGCATATGTTCATGAATTCATTCATTCTTTATTTTCTTTCTTTTTGAAATGGAGTCTTGCTCTGTTGCCCAGGCTGGAGTGCAGTGGTGTAATCTCAGCTCACTGCAACCTCTGCCTCCCTGGTTTCAAGTGATTCTCTTACCTCAGCCTCCTGAGTAGCTGGGATTACAGGTGCCCACCACCATGCCCAGCTAATTTTTGTATTTTTAGTAGAGACGGGGTTTCACCATGTTGGCCAGGCTGGTCTCCAACTCCTGACCTCAGGTGATCTTCCTGCCTTGGCCTCCCAAAGTGCTGGGATTACAACCATGAGCCACTGCTTCCAACCTTGGCTCTGATTTCTGAGTGATGTCTTCAGGCAGGCCGCTTTCCCTTTGTGGGAGCAGAGCCCACCCCAGCAGTTATGGGAAATGTCTCCTGCCTATGGGCTCCCCTCTTTCCATGGCTGTTTTGGGTAAAGTCCCCAGCTTGGCTCATAAAGCCTGAGCAGGTGCACACTGCCTTGCTTTGACAGGATAAAGCAAGAAGTGAGCCCACCCTGGATCCTGAGGCTCTGAGCTTGATGGAGCCCAGAGTTCCCTCCAGGCCGCTTCCTTCACAGATCTTGAAGCTGAGGTCAAGACGAAGCAGGGGCAGATCCCGGGTGCTCCCCAGGCAAAGAGAGCTGATCTCGGGGCTGGGGTCACAAGCCTCCTCTCCTGCCACGTTTAGGGCCCTAGAGCCAGGGAGGATGAGAGACCAGAGGCCTTTAGTTCACCCCTGGGGCTGGACAGAGGCTCAGCCTGTGCCGCATCCCGAAGCTGTTCTGGCCAGTCTGAGCCACGGCCCCTTTAAGAGGGGGTGGTGCTTCAGCTTGAGGCCAGGGTCGCTGCCTGCGTGCGTGCCCTACGGAAGCCAAGACTGCGCTTCCTGCGAGGATCCGGCGTTAGCCGTGGCTTGGCTGGAGGGAGTCAGCAGAGGCCGCGGTCCCCCTGGTCGGAGGGCGTCAGCAGAGGCGGTGGCAGCACCCCCCATCACGCTGAGGGAGTCAGCAGGGGTGGCGGCGGCCCCCTGTGCCGGAGGGAGTCAGCAGAGGGGGCGGCGCCCTCCCCCCCTCCACCCAGCCAGAGGGAGTCAGCAGAAGCGGGGGCGTGGTCAGAGCGAGTTTCTTCGGAGAAGCCGAGGTGGCTTCCACGTGTTGGTGGAGGAGGAGGCAGATCTCTGCGGTAAGTGGCGGGGACTCATACCCCACCGGGAACCCTGGTCCAGGCCTCCCTGCTCCTTGTTCGCGGCTCCCTGCTTTTCGGCCCTGACTTCTTTGTGAGTATTTGGGTCCCAGTCGTATGCGTGGGGCCGGTTGTGGGGTCCTCGCCATGGCAGCATCTGCAGCCGGTTTTGCCTGGAAGGCTTATGCCGGTGTGTGACCCGCATCCAGCGTCTAGGAGTGCACAGGCCCTGAGCCATGGTGAAGCCCGGGACCCGGGTCCCTCCGAACCTGACAGGTCTCTGAGCTGGGGTATCCCAACTTTCATTTCTACCAACAGTGTATGAGTCCCCCCCCCCTTTTTTTTTTGAGACGGAGTTTCCCTCTTGTTACCTAGGCTGGAGTGCAATAGCACGATCTTGGCTCACCGTAACTTCCACCTCCTGGGTTCAAGCAATTCTACCTCAGCCTCCTGAGTAGCTGGGATTATAGGCACGCGCCACCATGCCCAGCTAATTTTTTGTATTTTTAGTAGAGTTGGGGTTTCACCATGTTGACCAGGATGGTCTCGATCTCTTGACCGCGTGATCCACCTGCCTCAGCCTCCCAAAGTGCTGGGATTACAGGCATGAGCCACCTCGCCCAGCCCCATTCCTACTTTTTTTTTTTTAAGAAACTGAGTCTGGCTCTGTCACCCAGGCTGGAGTGCAGTGCCACAATCTTGGCTCACTGAAACCTTCACCTCCTGGGTTCAGGCAATTCTCCTGTCTCAGCCTCCTGAGTAGCTGGGACTACAGACGTCCAACATGATGATGCCAGGCTAATATTTGTATTTTTAGTAGAGATGGGGTTTCACCATATTGGTCAGGCTGGTTTCAAACTCCTGACATCAGGTAATCCACCCAACTAGGCCTCCCAAAGTGCTGGGATTACAGGTGTTAGCCACCTTGCCTGGCGAATTACAGTTTCCTAATGCATAGTTCATTTTGAGGACCTAATCTCTTATCTGTTGTTTGACTTTATGTCTGCAGAATTGTCCTAATCTCTTATCTGTTGTTTGACTTTATGTCTGCAGAATTGTCTGGTCAGGTTCTAGATTGGATTCTTCTGCTTTGTCTGCTTTGTTTTTTTGTGTGTGTGTACATGTTGATCTCGTCATTTCAGATTCTTCTAAATACTTGGGCCTACCTGCTCCAAGCTAGCTTAGAGGAGGAAGAGTAGTCTCCTGCCACCCATGCTGGAGGCTGGAGCCTGCAGTATTGCCTCGCCTCACTGTTGTGGTTGGTGGCAGTGACTGAGACTACAGCGCAACTGGAAAGGTAAAAAGATGGCAGGATAGGTTCACCATCCTGGCCTGCAAAACCTGAGGCATGGGGAATGGCTTTGGGGTGTCCTGCCATGGGCAGTGGGCACTATTCAGGGTGTCACTGCTGGTGTTGGCAGGGCTGGTTGGGGGGGTTATTTGAGGCACCACTGCCCGTGGAGGTGAGAGGGTTGGGGGCCCTTTCCTGGGGTGTGCTGCCCATTGCTGGGGGCTGGGTTGGGGCCTGTCCCAAGCGGTACTGCCAGCAGAAGTGGGGCATTTTGTGGGCACTGTCCAGGGATGTACTGCCCTAGGTGGGGGGGTGAGTTGGAGGAGCTATCAGGTGCTGCAATGCCTTTGTCTGGGATGGGTTGGTGGCACTGTGGGGTGCAACACTGCCAGCGGTGAGGGATGGGTTGGGGATGCTATCAGGTGTTACATTGCCCCCAGTGGGTGGGGGGGTGTCATATCCAGGACATCATTGCCTGTGTCTGGGAGCTGGTTGGGGGCGCTATCCAAGGCTGCATTGCCCACATGGGGAGCGGGTTGGGGGCACTATCTGGGGCTGCAGTGCTGGTGGTGGAGGATGATTTAGGGGGTGCTACACTGCTGGGGGGGGAGGGGTGGTGTTAAAGGCGCCATGGAGACTACACTGAGACAGAGGTTGGGGGGCTTGTTGGGAGAGCTACACAGGGTTGGACTGCCTGTGGAGGTGGGTAGAGGGTTGGTGGGGGAACTCTTGGGGCCAGATACACAGCCTGAGTAGTGGGGAGGCGGCCGGTGGGTCAGGTGCTCTCAGGGATCTGCGCTGCCTGGTAAAGAGCGGGTGAGTGTGCTATTCCAGGCTGCGTGGGTTGTGGCAGGGCAGGTTGGGTGCGCTATCGGGCTACCCAAGCTAGCCATGGTGGCACTTCCCAAGGTGGAGAGGGAGTTTGGAGTGCTCTCCATGGCCGAACTACCCAAGGCAGGGAGTTGGTTCAGGGTGCTATCCGGGGCCGCACTGTTCCCGACAGTGAGTTAGGGGAGTGAGTTAGGACACTCACTATTCAGGGTTGCAGTGCCCGCAGTGGGGGGTGGTTTGAGTGCCATATGGGGGCATTGCTGCCTGTGGTGGGGGTCTGCTTGGGGATACTATCTGTGGCTACACTGCCCACCTCAGGGAGTCTACTGGGGTGCTATCCCGGGCTGTACTCACCATGGCAGGGGGGTGGTCTGCAGGTGCCATCAAGTGCTGCAGTGTGTAAGGCAGGGACAGGTTAGGGGCTGCCATCACGTGCTATGCAGCCGGTGGTGACAGATGGGGTGTTGGCACTATCCTGGGGCTACACTGCCGGTGGTGGGGGATGGGGTGTTGGCACTATCCTGGGGCTACACTGTCGGTGGTGGGGGTTGGGGTGTTGGCTCTATCCTGGGGCTACACTTATGGTAGCAGCAGGTTAGGGGCTCTGTCGGAAGCTGCACTGCCAGTGGCAGGCAATGGATGTTTCAGTGACAGCAGTGGTCTCTGAGAGAGGAGTGGTCCTCCTTTCCCCAGACTCTAAACTCCAAAGGGCCATCTTCTCCTGCATGGTGGGCACACATTTATGAGAAAATCCTGATCACAGCAGGGCACCCAGACCCATCATGGTTCCCAGGCTCGAGCCCTCACATTCTGTGTTGCGGAGACTGCCAAGGATGCCCAGGCATGCCCTGTCATCATGGGGTGACAGGGCCCTGTGGGTGGAGGTCTCGGGAATGGGAACCAGCATGTTGGTGGGGAGGGCTGGTTGGGGCTGAGTTTCTGCTGCTACTGCTTCCCGAGCACAGCCTGGGTGGTCCCAGTGGTTCCTGTGGAGTGGGAAGCCCAGGCATCATGGTGTCTCCAGTCTCTACTCCCTAGCCAGTTTGGGACAAAAAAAAGATGCTGTGGACTTTGGAGGGTGGGTGGTGAGTGCCTTCACTGAAACTGGCCTGTGGCACCCAGTGGCCAGCATGACAAGGTGGGGGTCTAATGCTACCACTCTGTGTGTCCCGTTCTAGGCTTTTCTGGCTTTGCCCTCCTAGCTGCTCAATGCCATGAGAAGGAAGAGCCATCTGCTGCATGCCGGAGGCTGGAGCCTGTGGCACCATGGCTCACCTCGCTGCAGTGGGTGGCAGCAATGGAGACTGCAGAGCGCCAGAGAGGTAGGAGCGTGGCTGGCTGCCACCAGGGCAGGGACAGGGGTGCAGAGGTGGCCAGGTGGCAGCCTCTGAGGCGGCCTTGGGCCCTCGATCCCCTGCTGCTGGTTACGGCAGGCAGAGCTGGGGTTGCCACCACTTCTGCCGTGCCATGTGCAGGTGGCAGCTGCAGTTGAGCCTGTGGCAGAGGGTGGCAGTGCAGGTCCCAGACCTGAGTGAGGCCTGAGGGTCGTAGAATACTCCCCTCCCACCCTAGGATCACTCCTCTTTGGCAGCTTCCTGAATGCTGGGCTGCCGGTCTCTACACTGTGCGGCCACTGGAATGGGGCTGAGTGCCACTTCCTGCCCTCCTGCAGCTGGGGCTTCACTGCCTCCATTAGGGCCACGGTGGCATCTGACCCTTGGTTCTGTGCTGCTGGCCGCCGCATGCATGTCCAGGATTGCCACCACTGCTGACGTGCACCATCTGCAAGAGGCAGCTACAGCTAAGTACATGGCATCGGCTGGCAGGGCTAATTTGAGAAGACCCAAGGGCTGTCCAGCAGACTGCCCTCCCATCCTAGGGCCCCTCTTCCTTGGCCTATGCACAGAGCAACGGGTGGCGGTTGCTGGCTGCTGTGCAGCCACTGGATCCTCGAGGCTGACTGGCCGGTTCCTGCTTTCCTGCAGCAGCAGGGCCGACTGCCTGCGTGAGGAGCTGTGGAGGCTTCTGGCCCTGGGATCCTCACTGCAGTGGAGCAGGCGGGCAGCATCAGTGGTTGTCACTGTGGCTGCTGCATGGCCGTGTGCAGGTGGCAGCTGCAGCTGAGCCCAAGGCAGAGGCTAGCCCTAGACAGCCCAAAAATTCTCAGTGCACCACCTAGGGTCCATCTTCCTTGCCCCCGCCCAGAGTGCGGGGTCTGGGTGCTGGGCCCTGTGCAGCCTTGGGGGTGGGGCTGAGTGCCGGTTTCTGCTCTTCTTCTCCCTTTTTGGCCCTGGTCCAGGGTGCTGGTTGTGGGTGCCAGGTACCCTGCAGCCACTGGGATGGGGCTGAGCGCCAGTTCCAGTCCTCCTCCTGCTTTGAGGCCTGATTAGGCGCCGCAGCAGGGTCTCGCCCTTGGGTCCGCGTTGCTGGTGGAAGCAGGCAGGATCAGGGGTTGCACCGCTGCTGCCACATGCCATCTGTAAGTGGCAGGTGCAGCAGAATGCATGGGAGGCCACAGGGCTGGTCTCAGACAGCCTGGGAGTCACCCAGGGCACCTACCTCCACCCTAAGATCTGTGCTTCTTTTACCCAAGCCCAGAGTGTGGAGTCACAGGCTCTGGGCCCACTGCAGCCCCTGGGATGAGGCTGAGTGCTGGTTTCCACCCCCTTGCAGCTGTGCCACTGACCGCCTAAATTAGGTGCCATGGTGACATCTGGTCCTGGGTTTCCTGCTGCTGGTTGGGGAGGATGGGTCCAAGGGTTGCCACTGATACTGACTTGCGCCATTTCCAGGTGGCAGCTGTGGCTAAGCCCACAGCAGATTCTGGCAGGGCTGCTCCCAGAGGGCATGAGGATCACAGAGTGTACTGCCCTCCTGCCAACCCACCCTAGGGTCCACTTTTCCTTGGCCCTGGCCCAGAGCACAGGTTTGTGGGCACTGGGCACTGTGCAGCCACAGAGTTGTGACTGAGCGCCTCCTGCCCTCCCGCACTTGCGGGCTGACTGTAGCAATATGTGGTCCTGGGTTCCATGCTACTGGGGCCAGTGTCCAGGGTTGCCGCCACTGCTGCCCTGTGCATGTACTGCAATAGTCTGATAGCTGAGCCAGCTACTGAGTGCCTGACAGAACTGGTGGTGTAGACAGTGAGGATAGGCTACACAAAGGGAAATCCATGGCGCCAGGTGGGCAGTTGGGATGGTGTAAGATTTCATCACGCTTCTTGGAATGGCATGCAAATGAAAACTGAACATTTTACTTCTGGAATTTTCCATCTGATATTTTTGGGATGTACACAGGGAACTGAAACTGAAAGCTACACTGTGGATAATGGGAAACGACTATGCCTCTTAGTTTTTATATTAGTTTTCTGTGGTTGCTGTAGCTGATTATCACTCACTTAGCCACTTAATATAACACAAGTTTATTATCTTTAAGTTCTGGAGGTCTGAGTTTGAAATGCATCTTACTAGTATAAAATCGGGATATTGTCAGGGCTACATTCTTTTGGAGATGCTGGGGGAGAATCTGTTTCCTTGCTTTGTCCAACTTCTATAGAGGCTGACTGCATTCCTTAGCTCATAGCCCCTCTTCCATCTTCAAAGGCAACAGCTTAGCATCTTCAAATCTCTCTCCTGACTCTCCTACCTTCCTCTTCCATCTTTTTTTTCCCTCAAGACAGGGTCTTAATCTTTTCTCCAGGCTGGGTGCAGTGGCATGATCATGGCTCACTGCAGCCTTGACTTAGCTGGGCTCACATGATCCTCCCACTTTAGCCTCCCACATAGGTAGAAGTACAGGTGGGTACTACCACTCCCCGTTAATTATTATTATTATTATTTTGTATATATCATAGAGACAGGGTTTTGCCATGTTGCCCAGGCTGATCTTCTTTAAAATAATTTTTAAATTTTACTTTAAGTTCTGGGGTACATGTGCAGAACATGCAGGTTTTTTACACAGGTATACATGTGCCATGGTGGTTTGCTGCAGGTGTCAACCTGTCATCTAGGTTTTAAGCCCCACATGCTTTAGGTATTTATCCTAATGCTCTCCCTCCCCTTTCCCCCTACCCCTGAAAGGCCTCAGTGTGAGATGTTCCCCTCCCTGTGGCCATGTGTTCTCATTGTGCACCTCCCACTTACAAATGAGAACGTGCAGTGTTTGCTTTTCTGTTCCTGTGTTAGTTTGCTGAGGACAATGGTTTCCAGCTTCACCCATGTCCCTGCAAAAGACATGAACTCATTCTTTTTTATGGCTGTATAGTATTTCATGGTGTATATGTGCTGTATTTTCTGGACCCCCAAGGCTGGGAAGGCAGATTCTCACTCAATTTCCACCTTTTCCGCTGCCTTCTCTTCCCTCTGCCATCTTCTCCCTTTCCTTTTGTTCTTTGGAGAAAATAGGTCTGCAGCAGCCACTGAACTTTGTCTTGCTTTGTGTTCTACTCTTGGTCTCGCTTCCTTTCTTTCTCCTTCCACCTTGCCTGGCTGATTTTTCATCTCATCCCCTTGGGAAGACTTTTTGACGTCCTTAAAAATCTTCTCAAAAGTGAATTTCTGCTGATGGTTTAAATGGATGCCATTGTCAGCAGGGGTCAGCGATGACCCACCCATCTCCTATACTACTTCTCTTTGCTCTCTGGTTCCCACATTTGATTCTATTTTCTCCCACTTCCTTGGTCTGTTGGGTAGTACCGGCCTGCCCTGATCTCTAATGTGTGAATGGAGCGGAAGCTAAGCCGTCCTTCCTGGCTTTCCAACGAGCCAGCAGGTGGATCTTCAGACCTTCCTGCCTGTGTGGGCATCCAGAAAACTTTTGGGGTGTGTGGCCATGGAGACAATGGAATATTTATTGTACTACCTTCCTTAGACTTTCTGATGCAACCTGCCCTCTTTCCCAGGTTGCTGTGATGCTGCAGGGAGGTTTCTTAAATTTATCTTGTCAAAATAGCCTTCAAATCCTTTTGGAGAAGGAATTTCTTTTCAATCTCACAAGACAGAAACTATTCAAGGGAAGAATTAGGAACAAAGACAAGGCAGGAGAACTGGAGAGAACTCGGAGAGCATTTAGAGAAAAGCGGGGAAACGACTGTTGGGTTGGAAAATAGGAGCATGGATAAGTGGTGAGAGGAATGGAGATTACTTAATTGGGACAGAGAGGCTGACAGGTGGCTTATTAATAGGCTTTCAGTTTGTGGAGGGTTTGCACAGGGAGACTGGCTTCCCATTACCAGGGAAGAAAAGACACTGAAAGTGGGAGGTAGGGGAGTCCGAGGCTGAGGAAGAACTTCTAATCACAGGGTCCATTAATTATAGCAAGGGAGGATGGATCACAAGCTCTTCACCGAGTAGTCTTCCCAGATAAGAGCAGCACTGGGATGGTGGTAGTGCTTTCTGTGAGTCATCCGGTGCAGAGCTTCCTGATCACTTGTCCTCAGATAGTAGCAAGGTGGCTGCCTCAGCATCTCCAGGGACAGGTGGTAAAAATAGAACTTTCTGGGCCCTACCCAGACCTTCTGGTTTAGAATTTCTGGGAGGAAAGTCCAGGTGTCTGTATTCTTATACACCCCACCCCACCCCGGAGAAATGTAGAACTAACTCATGGAGAACCAAGAGGCTGGTGATGTGGAGAAAGAGGAAACAACTCCCCCAGATCCCTCTGATGTTCCCTGTAGCATCCTGCTAGTGCTTCCACTGCCCATGAGCTGCAGGAGCCCAGGCCATACCTGCCCTGGTGACTCTGTCCAGCATCCCCGCTGGGCCACTTGGAATGGACCCTGGGGCATCAAAACTGCCCTACAGCTCTGAAGAACCCCTGTGTCTCTCTTTAATCACAAGGGTGCTGGGAAAAATGCTCATTCCATGTTTTTGTTCTAGACTTCACTGGCAGTCACTGAAGTCTTAGGTGGCTGTTCTGCGGAGTTTTCCAATGCCAAGGGGTCCCTCAGACACAACCGGGGCCCCAAAGGGGCTAGAATGGAGCGAGCCTGGGAGTCAAGAGATGGTATCTCTCTTGAGCTTGGGCAGGCTATTTTACCTCTCCCCATCGCAGTTTCTTTCTCTGGAAAAGGATACCCCCAGCCTGGACAATCTCTAAGGTCCTTCCAGCTTTACCTTTCTGTCTCTGCTGGCTGTTTGAAGAACTGCAGTGCTTGAAGAGTATAAAGTCGTAGATTCAGTGTAATGTTTTTTAGTGAAATATTTTAAATTCAGTGTTTTTTTCTTTATATAACTTAACCTTGGGGATGTTGAGAAGGATGAGGGAAAATACACAAATACACCCAACTCCAGCGAGCTCTTCTTGTGTGTGGGCCTGCCGTTCACCATGCGTGACCATGCACACACTCTCTCGTCCCTTGGTGGCAGCAAAACCAAACTACACATGCTGTTCTTTGTATGTTTTTTTGTATGTTTCAAATGTGTAGCTTGGAATCAGTGAATATTGTTCATGGGAATACTAGGAAAGTTGGGGGCTGCAATCATTATTTCACACACTTCCTTGCTTGTTTCCTGCTGAATTCAAGATTGCAGTGTTACTTCAAAAAAAGTCAATTATTAATTGTGCTTGTAAGCTTTTGGGACCAGCCACACCCTGACACTTAAAAAATAATGAAATGTTAGTGTAAGAAAAATTGCTAGCTGTCTATCCCAACCCTCTATCTTAGTAACTGAACCTAATTTGGGGCACTTTCCTACCTACACTGTAATAGTAGATTTTCCAGTCTCCTGTATGGCTAGGTAAGTTGTAGACAATGATAGAGATAAATTACTGTAAGCTATCATTTAAGGAAGTTTTTTCTTTTTTTTTTTGTTAACGAGAGCTTGTTACATTGCTCAGGTTGGCCTTGAACTCATGGCCTCGCCTCCTCAAGCACCAGGACAACTGGCCAGAGCCACCATGGCCCCCAAGGAAGTCTTTTTTAAAAAAGTAAGAAAAGAATTCTTTTTTCCTTTCTCCCCTCCTCCCTTCATTTCTCCTTACTTCCTTTCTTCCTCCCTCCCTTCTTCCCAGAATGCAGTTGTAATGGCTGGAGTTCCAGCAGCCACTTTAGACCATAACATGGAAATGAAGCATTAAGGATGGCAAAGCAAAAAGCTAAAAGCCTGAGACACGATGACCATGGGGCTGCCATCCTACCCCAGGACTGTCTCCCTTCAGACATCTTTTATGTGAGAAAAGAATAAAGCCACTATTATCTTTTGTTTTACTTACACAGCTGAACCAAATTCTAATGAATCCATATAGGTTCATCCTGAGCAGATGATGCTCAGAGCAAGATGGAGCTCAGAGTGATTGGAGCACTGAGCAAGATGGAGCTCAGAGCAGATGGAACTCTGAGCAAGATGGAGCTCTGAGTATATGGAGCTTGGAGCAACATGGAGCTTGGAGCAGATGGAGCTCTGAGCAAGATGGAGCTCTGAGTAGATGGAGCTTGGAGCAAGATAGAGCTCAGAGCAGATGGAGCTCTGAGCAAGATGGAGCTTGGAGCAGATGGAGCTTGGAGCAGATGGAGCTCTGAGCAACATGGAGCTCTGAGCAGATGGAGCTCGGAGCAAGATGGAGCTCAGAGCAGATGGAGCTTGGAGCAGATGGAGCTCAGAGCAAGATGGAGCTCGGAGCAAGATAGAGCTCAGAGCAGATGGAGCTCAGAGCAGATGGAGCTCTGAGCAAGATGGAGCTCTGAGCAGATGGAGCTCAGAGCAGATGGAGCTCTGAGCAAGATGGAGTTAAGAGCAGATGGAGCTCTGAGCAAGTTAAAGCTCAGAGCAGATGGAGCTCTGAGCAAGATGGAGCTTGGAGCAGATGGAGCTCTGAGCAAGTTAAAGCTCAGAGCAGATGGAGCTCTGAGCAAGATGGAGCTTGGAGCAGATGGAGCTCTGAGCAAGATGGAGCTTGGAGCAGATGGAGCTCTGAGCAAGTTAAAGCTCAGAGCAGATGGAGCCCTGAGCAAGATGGAGCTCAGAGCAGATGGAGCTCTGAGCAAGATGGAGCTAAGAGCAAGATGGAGCTAAGAGCAGATGGAGCTCTGAGCAAGATGGAGCTCTGAGCAAGGTGAAGCTCGGAGCAGATGGAGCTCAGAGCAGATGGAGCTCTGAGCAGGTTAAAGCTCAGAGCAGATGGGGCTTGGAGCAAGGTGGAGCTCAGAGCAAGATGGAGCTCTGAGCAAGATAGAGCTCTGAGCAAGATGGGGCTCAGAGCAAGATGGAGCTCGGAGCAAGATGGAGCTCGGAGCAGATGGAGCTCTGAGCAGATGGAGCTCTGAGCAAGATAGAGCTCAGAGCAGATGGAGCCCTGAGCAAGATGTAGCTCAAAGCAGATGGGGCTTCAATCAGATGGTACTCAGAGCAAGATGGAGCTTGGAGTAATTGGAGTTTGAAACCAGATGGAGCTCGGAGCAGATAGATCTCTGATCAACAAGGAGTTTCAAGCAAGGTGGAGCTTGGAGCAGATGTTGCTGGTATAAGATACACCTCAGAGCAGATGTTGCTGGTGGGGTGGCATAGGGAGGTTCGACCCCGGCAAATCAGGCAGAGGTGCCCCTTGCTCCCTGCAACACCGCCCGGGTCCTGGGGCCACAATGAACATGAGCAGAGGGTGTGAGCAAGAGGCAGGGGACCTGGCCTGGGACCCCAGCCCAAAGCTGGGAAGTCGCCTATCCCTGTGTGGGCGTGGACACTGGGGACTCTGGCTTTTCCAGCGGTTCGGCCACTTGATTAGGTTTATGCTCTGTGGGTGGTGGGGGGATGGAGTGTTGGGAGGATTGGCCCACCTGTAGGACTGGAGCTGCGGTAGATAGGTGCTCTCCTTTCCATTTCTCCTGGGAAGACATCCAAGAACTGTTTTATTACAAGGGGAGTTTGGAAAACATAGCTCACCTTCTGCTGTGTATTAGCCAAGAACAAGGTGTGAAGTAACTTCCCGATTATTGGGGATCCCTTTGTCCCTTCTTGAGATTAGATATCTTCATCAGTGAGGTTTTGCCTGGATGACCTCAGCACAATTGGTACGAAACCTGAGCCAACTGTTTCCTACTTTCCTGGTTGTTGTCTTAAGCTTCTCTCCCATAAGGTACCTTCCTATCCTTTTTATAACCTAAATTATCGCCTGAACTGTTTCAACTCCTACAGCTCTGGACAAGCTGCTTTTCATTTGATGGGTCCATCCAATCCCTGCACTTGCCCTGTTTTTCTCTAACCAGATCTTTGGCCGCTTCTGCAGTCTTTGGGTAAATGCTTGGGAGAATCATTTAAAGATATTTATTCTGCCATCATGGCCCTAGTACCTCAGGGGGCAGTAAGATGGCTTTTTAAGACTGGTCTAATCAGATCCTGATTTCTTTTCCCTTCCTAGGTTTTGAAACATGAATCCTTCACTCCTCCTGGCTGCCTTTTGCCTGGGAATTGCCTCAGCTGCTCTAACACATGATCACATATTAGATGCACAATGGCACAGGTGGAAGGCAAAGCACAAGAGATTATATGGCACTGGTGGCACCTGAAACTGTTTAGGGGAACCCCAGAGCGATGGGCCTTGCTATTGGGATCATATGGCTAGAGAGTAACTTCTAGAGGCTAGCTCTTACCAATAACTTAATGGCAACAATTATGAGCATGATATGGGTATACATCCCTGTTGTGTCTCAGCTTGGAGAATAGCTTCCAAAAGTGTCAAGCCTTCCCTTGCCATGGTTTCTCTTCCATCTCTGTCTGCAGATTTACTTGATGAGCACAGGTTGGCTTTTAGATAGAAATAAAGAGCATCAGTTACATGTTTGCCTCCAGAATGAAGAAAAATGGAGGACAGCAGTGTGGGAGACGAACGTGAAGATGACGGAGCAGCACAACCAGGAATACAGGCAAGGGAAACAGCTGCACAATGGCCATCTAATGGCACTGGCTTTGTGGACATCCCTTCATGGGAGAACCTGACGAAGGCACTGGCAACTGTGGGGCCCATCTCTGTTGCTGTTGATGCAAGCCATGTCTCCTTTCAGTTCTATAGAAAAGGTAAGCATCTTTCTTCATAGAAATCATTGCAGAAAGAGTAAGCCACCATGACGTACCAGCATGGTGGGGCGCTGTACATGTAGTATTCATACCCGATGTTTCCACTTGTTATGACGCTGAGCATATCTCCATGAAAATAAGTACTTCATAACTTTATAAATAGCTACATTGTTTATAGTATAGTTTAATTTACTTAAATATTATCTAATTGTTGTATTCATAGAACTCTTCCAAAGATTGTTACTTCTGTGATTAAATCTGAAAAGAGCCTTTTTATTCAAGGATTTTGGTGTTCTGTGCTTTTAAGACTGATATTCTAGAGTAGAATTACAAAAATAGTGGACTTTTATGCCTGTAGGAAAGTTTTTTATGAAAGATTATGCTAATTTCTATTTCTGCTAGTTGAGGATGAGAACCTAAATCCCTAGCCTTGATAATAATAGATCTTGTTAAGCCTGATCTGGATTGCATGTCATTTCACTGACTTTAGAGATGCCTCCCTCCCTGTGGGTGACAGTGTGGGTTACTGTCAGGTGTCCTCGGGAGCTTCTCACCAAGCCCTCATTTTTTCTCTCAGGCATCTATTTTGAGTGACCCTAAAGACCTGGATCATACTATACTGGTGGCTGGCTACGGCTATGAAGGGCAGAGTCGGATAACAACGAATATTGGCTGGTGAGGAACAGGTATAAATTGCCAGAAAAATATTTGTAGTTGAAATTCAAAAAGGAATCCTTTTTTGCAATTAGTATTTAGATACCACAAGCCCTTAAGCACATTTTGAAATCCCAGAAGTCTTTATCCCCCTTAGGTAGAACATAAAATATTAATGATTGATTATAACATCTAGATGCTATCATGAGCATGCTGGGGATATTAATATGGTATTTGTCCTACTGCATGTCTAAATTTTGAACATGTTCTTAATTCTAAAGCATATCTAGCTGGAAAGACATCCTATCCTTTTTCTGTTTCTGATTTTACACTTCTGTGAAAAGTCACAGTTTTGGCTCTGGGATGGAAGTGATATGCAGGTTTAGACCCAAGAATTTATAAGGGACGAACAGGAACATCAGCATCTCCTGATTCTTTATGTTAAGCCTGTTGCTCTGGCACAGTGTTTAAGTTAATAACCCAATGTGCTTTATCCTTCCTCTGAAATGGAAAACCTGCTCTCCTTTCAGCTGGCGTAAACACTGGGGCATGGATGGCTACATAAAGATGGCCAAAGACCAGAGGAGCAACTGTGGAATTGCCACAGCAGCCAACTACCTCACTGTGTGAGCTGATGGATGGTGATGAGGGGACTCTACTGCGGATGGCACATCCAGAGGAGGAATTTATCTTCTGTCTATCAGCCCCTCCTGCGTGGGATGCACACTTCAGTCACACATTGAAGCTGTAAGTGTGATTTGACTTCTGTGATATTTTCACAGTGGTAAATGTTACCTCTATTTTAATTACTGTTATAAACATGTTTGTATTATTGATTGACTTACTTTGGATTTTCATTTTAAAAGGACATATAGTTTTTACCTGTTTAAACAAAATGTAACTTCAAATGTACTTTTTTGTGGGACCCCGGCCAGCCTTGGAGGGGACAAGGCTCAACTTCTCTTTAAATTATTTTAAGAAGTGGGGGAGGACAAACAAGGGGACTGAGCTGAGCCCTGAGTCCCTGAACCTCCCAGCTCAGCCCCCACAGCAGGACTGGACTCAGAGTCAGAGGGTGGAAGCTCCACCCCCACCCAGACATGGCTGGGAAAGACAGGACCCAGGAACACCCACTCACTGTCCTCCAGGAGGTGGCAGCCGCAGCACACGGGGCCCAGCCCCGAGTGGGGCTATTTGGGGGTGCTGCCACCCTTGGGAGTGGTGGGTTTCTTGCCCTGCCAGAGGTGTCCCTGGATGGTGAAGGCATCAACGCTCATGGACATGGTCTTAGTGGGGATCTGGGTGAAGAGGTTGCGGTCCGAGTTGTACTTGTAGACGCCTTCCACCATGGCAGGTGTGACGGTCCGGGCCCGTAGCCCGCCAACCGCAACAGCTCCTCCGTCTCCCCTGACAGTGTGTAGAGTGCCCTGAACTGGCAGCTCGAGTCACAAAAGAGGATCAGGAAGTGGTTGGCCTTGCTTTTCTCAATTTCCTCCAGAACGCGGTTCTTCTGCGGTTCGTTCACCTTGCCTGCCAGGCAGCAGTGTGACAGAGCGTTGTGGATGATGAACTTGTTGGACTTGGCACTAGGCTCCTTGTACAGCCGTGGGCTGTGTACTCGGGCGCCGATGCTGGGGAGGAGGCATTGCTGCTATTCTCCCAGTCCCATTCATGGCTCCCAGGCAGGCGGCTTGGGGACATGAGGCCCGATGGGGAGGGAGCCCGAGACGTGGGCCTCTTTACCCCGAGGTTATTGGGGGCTTCGTTGGCCACAGTGGACAGTGACAGGGTAGACTGGGAATAGATTTTGCTCAGCCGAGAGCTCAGCAGGCCGCGTGCTGGGCTTTGCACCAGGGCCGAGTCATCACAGCAACCTGAGCGAGGCCGAGGCGCCTTCTGCCCTCCCCAACCCGGGCCCCTGGACCCCGCAGCCCAGGGCTGCAGCACCTTATCAAGGTCGTTCATCAGCTTCAGCTGGGCCCGGCGCTCGTACTCCAGCCATGTGAAGTACCCCCACCGGGGGTACTTCCTCAGCTGGATTCCGAGCAGCAGGGGCTGGGGTGGCCACGGGGGCTGCAGGGACTATGGACACGGCTGGGGCTGGGCCAGGTGCCTCCTCATGGGCCAGCCTCGCAGCCTCCTCCCTCCACTGTCTTCTCTGCCTCCTGCCACTGCTTGCTCCACCGCACCTCCTCTGCTCGCCGCTGCTGCCGCTCCAGCAGGCTGGCTTGCTTTTGGGCGATCTCATCCTCAGGCTTGTCTTCATCCTTGTAGAAGAACCCCAGCCCCGCTCGGGGCTCCCCCTCTGAAGACGCCTCCTCTTCCAAGGAATCCTCAGCACCAGGGCGACTCCTGTCTCCCTCTTCCTTGGTGGCGGAATCTGTCAGGCTGCCCAGCGGGATCTAGATGAGGCCGGGCCGGGGGGGCTGGCTCCTCAGGGGCCGTCCCCTCTGCCAGGAGGATGGAGCAGCACGCCTGCACAGGCAACTGGCTCGGGGAAAACTTGTGCAGGTGGGGGAGGCTGTTTACGTCGTGGGGTGGTGTGAGCACCCTGGTCAGGGGCGCCAGCCGCAGCTCCGCCAGCCGGGTGTGTTTTGGGCTTCAGGGTGACTGGCTGGGCCCGGGCCCAGGGCTGCGCCGGGTGGCCGGGACCTGCCGGGTGAGGCTGGGGGACAAGGCTTTGGGCCCCGTCGTCGTGGGTCAGGAAAGATCCATGCCGCAGGGAGTGGGGCAGGTCCAGGGGCCTCCAGCAGGGCCAGGAGCCGCTGCTGCTGGTCCGTGAGCCTCTGCATGTCCCGCTGCAGAGAGCTCAAAGCAGTACTCAGCTTGCTGACTGCTCGATTGTATTCCCCCAACCCCTCGGGGGGCAGCAGACCCAGGTCTGGCGAGACGTTCACTGCCTTAGACCGTGAAGTTGGCTCACCCTGGCCCTGACCCGCTGGCTGCTCCCCACCAGGGTCTGGGCCTGGGTCAGCCTCGGCCTCCGCCTTCCCAGAAGCCTCCCTTGGCTGCACCTGTGGGAAGGCGCTTTTGCTCAGCTGCTGGCAGTGCTTGGCGAAGATGGCCTCAATTCGTCGCTTCTGAGCCTCAATGGCTCTGCGTTTCTCCTCCAGCTGGGCACCAAGCTCACTCATCTCTGAACACAGGGTCTCCGGCGGGGCCAGACTAGATGTGGGGGACCCTGCTCCAGCCTCAGCCTCTGCCTTCGCCAGCTGTTCCTTGCGTTCCGCAAAGCTGGTCATTTTCACCTCGGAGTTGGTGGCCGCTGGGGACGAAGCCGCTGCCTTCAGGGACCCCTCGGATGGGGCCGGCGGTTTCGATGCCTCCCCCACCAGACAGGTAGATGGTTTTGAGGGGGTCTCGGGGTGTGGCATATATACCAGTGCTTTGGTGAGCTTGTCAGACAGTGGTTTGGAGCTCCCCTCAGGCAGGTACGGGGAGGCCAAGGATGACTTGGAGGGCCCCTAAGGGGAATGGAGGTAGAAGCTGCCGTCGGCAGCCCCGTCTGGGAGCAGCCAGGGCTCGGCACTGTGGATGATCTTCAAAGCCTCCTCGATGGTGGGCAGGTTGCCAGGCTCCGGAGGTGGGGAGGGCTGGGCAGGGGTCCTGGCTGGTGCAGGACCTGCGGGCCCAGGCTGTCCAAGCTCACAGAGCGGAGGAGCACAAGGTCTCCCATGACGACATCCACGTCACTGAGCTGCTGGTTCCAGGCCTTGCCCAGGGCCTCCATATGGGACATAGACGGGGAAGACTTCAGGGAGCCTGTGGATCCTCGGAGTGGGGACTGGGGACCGCCAGGTCACAGAAGTGGGTGGCGGAAGTTGAAGATGAGAGAACTGCTGCCACTGTTGTTCTGTGGGGGGCAGGCCTCCGTGCCATGGGGGGAGGCAGTGTGACCATCCGGCAAGTCCTTCACTTGCACGAAGTCAGGCTTGAGCACCTCAGAACACACGAACAACTCAGCCAGCAGCACCACCAAGTTGACCTCGAGCGGTGGGAGGACGTAGAGCAAGTCCTCGAGGGACGGGGGGCAACCATGAGGAAGGTGGGCGGCACAGAAGTCCTGCACCAGCTGGAGGTTGTACAGGCTGTCCGCCACAGACATGGGGTCCTTCAGGCATGCCTCAAGTCGAAGCAGCTGGGGACAATAGCAGTGGATGGCAACGGCCAGTGCAGCTCCACTGGCCAGGTCCTGGAGGCTGGTCACTGTTGGGAAGCAGGGGGCACGCCGTGCCACCACCTGGTCCTTGCTGTATCGGATCGAGGGCTGCGCTGGGGCCGCCTCGTCTGCAGGGGCTGCTGGAGAGGCTCTCAGGGCCGCTTCCTGCTCTGTCTTCTCCTGCAGCCGCTGGACAGTCGTGTCCACCCAGAAAAGCAGCTTGTGCTACAAGCCGGTGAGGGCCAAGGGATACCTGGCAGGGTCTTTGTCCACTCGAAGGCAAAGGCAGCCATGAGGGCATCAGTGACAGCTAGATGGGCTCCCATGAGAATGGACTGGTGCCTCAGGTCGGCCTCATATACCGGGCGCTCCAGCAATGCAGGCACTGTGCCCCTCCGCACCAGCAGGGCCAGCAGTGCAGAGGGGTTGGGGGGTGTTTCAAGCTGTGGCAGTGCCTGGCACCAGGCCCTGCAGTAGAGCTCGGCTGAGAGCAACAGCTGTGTCACTGGGGGCTTCACATGCTCCTGTGCATACTGGTCAGTATAGAAGGGCTCCCACGGCTCTGGGGGTATGTGCTATGCACCCCCGAATGCGGCCCGCAGCACCCATGCCAGGCTGGCTGCTGCCTTGGCCCGTGAGAAATCGTACTGGTCCAGTGACTTGATCTCCAGCAGCAGGAAGGTCCTCCGCAGCGGCCCGGGTGCGGCCCGGGAGGCACCGCCTCCACCATGGCGGTGCTGGGGCTATGGGCACCAGGTCCGTGCTTAGGCTTGGCTGGGCTGTGCCGCACTCACGCTCTGGGGTTTCTTTTTGTTTTTGATGCACTGACTTTTTGTGTAGTTGTATTTCTCTGTTTTCACACTGCTGATAAAGACATACCCAAGACTGGCCAATTTACAAAAGAAAGAGGTTTAATCGACTCACAGTTCCACATGGCAGGGGAGGCCTCACAATCATGGTGGAAAGTGAAAGGCATGTCTCACATGGCAGCAGAAAAGAGAAGAAAATGATAGTCAAGTGCAATGGGATTCCCCTTAAAAAAACCCTCAGATCTTCTGAGACTTATTCACTGTCATGAGAACAGCCAGGGAAGGATCTGCCCTCATAATTCAATTACCCTCCTTCAAGTGCCTTCCACAACATGTGGAAATTGTGGGAGCCAAAATTGAGGATGAGATTTGGGTGGGACACAGCCAAACTGTATCAGTAATCAAGCATGAAACTGAGCTCTAAGCCATACCAGCTGTGCCACTGGTTCACTAGGAGGAACAGTGGGTGGCCTGCTGACTCCTCTAGTGACAAATGTGTAGATCTCACATCAGCTCCCCAGTAGCTGTGTCTGACCCAACCCTTGATTGAAGCAAAATATGACAAACGATCTATAAGGACAAAAGGAAATTATTTTAATAAAGAAAAAATTTACATTTTTCTTTAAAGTGATCAGACATCCATGTAATTTCAATACTGAAAAAGAGCCTTAGAGATTATGTTTATCTCACCCAAGGTGGTTGCAGCCCAGTCAGGTTACAGGACTAAGGTATCAGGGCCAGTTTCTGGAGCATCTTCCCCCACTGCTGGTAAGGGCCCCATGGCCACTTTGCAGTTGAGGTGAGACAATGCACTAGTGCATTGCCAAGGCTGTTTGTCTTTGGGTGCTCAAGGGATGAGGGATAAACTCCAGGGTGTGAGGCTGGGCTTCAGGAATGGTGTGCTGGCCTTGGAAGGTGGAAGATAGAGGACCCAAAGTGAGAGTCTGTGGCCACATTTACACCAACCTACCTGTAAACACTTGAATCATTTTAAAAAGCTGAAAAACTTCCCACATGTATGACTAAAAGAACATATAGTTTCATCACCTGTGTTTTTTTCCAAAAGTCTCATGTTCCCAGTGAAAAATATAAAGGATAGTTACAAGTGTTTGGTGAATAGACTCCATAATCCTCCAGGAAGAAAACTAGGTGGACCGTAGGGTCTTATCCCACAAAGCCTCCAGCAGGCTCCATTTAAGTTCATCGGAATTGGATCATGTGCCATCCTAGACTCTTATGTGCCCTTCCCTAATGGTTGCTAAAACTAACTTATTTATTTACTTACTTATTTAGATATAGTCTCTCTGTTGCCCAGGGTGAGCTATTGCCCAATGGTGTGATCTCAGCTCAGTGCAACCTCTGCCTCCTAGGTTCAAGCAATTCTCCTGTCTCAGTTCCCCAAGCGGCTGGGATTACAGGCACCCACCACTATGCCTGGCTAATTTTTGTATTTTTAGTAGAGACAGGGTTTTACCATGCTGGGCAGGCTCGTGTTGAACTCTCAACCTCAGGCGATCTGCCTGCCTCGGCCTCCCAAAGTGCTGGGATTACAGGCGTGAGCCACCGCACCCAGTCAGACTTCATCTTTTTGACATAAAATGACAAAAGTGGCAACTGTTAAATTATTTGGATTTTATAATAAAAGTAGTCCATTGTAGCAAGAAGATTTGGAAGATTCCCAAGGTAAATCCCTTAACTGTGCAGATTGGGTCCTAGATTTGAAACAGAATTTATGCAGCACCCATTATGCAGGTTATCACCACGGTGGAAGACAGGCCCTGACCTCAAGGAGCTGTAGCTGTTAGGGAGAGGAAGGTGATGAGGGAGGACATCCGGGAGGAAGGGAAAGCTGACATCAACCAGAGCAGCTAATCACTAAGGGAAGGTAAAGAGGTGAGCATCTTAACAGAGACTAGCACATCTGCAACCCTGAGAAAAGATTCTGTAGTGAGAGACCCTGCAGAGTGATTAGGTCCAGGTGTTGGGTGATGAAGCTTGCTGAGTGGAGTGTTTGACCATAGGGGGACCACTGGAGAGTGCAGAACAGACCATTCTGGTTCTTGGTTACTGCAAAACAAACCACCCAGAAACTCAGTGACTTGGTAGAAACATCTTTCACATTTTCCACCTGGACTTGGCTGTGTGGTTTCATGGGAAGACATCTGTAGGCTCTATCTGTGTTGGAGACATCTGTAGGGCTTGATGAGGCTAGACATCTGCAAAGGCTCACTCACATGGCTGGCTGCAGATTCTGGTGTTGGCTGGGTGTTTAGCTTGAGCTGTTGACCAGAGCACCTGCCTGGGGCCTCTCCACAGCTTGGGCTTCTCACAGCGTAGTACTGAATGAACCCTGTATATACTATGTTTTCCTATATATACAAGCCTATGATAGTTTAATGTATAAATTAGGCACAGCAAGAGATTAACAACTAATAAAGTAGAATAATTATAACAACATGACAGTAGAACTGCTTTTGCAATTTTGGGTCATTATTTAGTAAAATAAGGGTTACTTGAATGCAAGCACTGTCATAGCCTGACTATGCCAGTAAGTGACTTAAAATGCCAAGTAAGTGACTCACTGACAGATAGTGTATACACTGTGGATACCCTAGACTCAGGGATGATTCAGCAACCCTCATGGGAGAGCAGGAGGGCATGAGACTTCACCACACTACTCAGAATTGTGTGCAATTTAAAATGTAGAAATTGCTTATTTCTGGATCCTTTTAATAACTTTAAAGTGCAGTTGACCATGGGTAATAGAAATTGCATAAAGTGAAAATGCAGATAAGGGTGGACTCATGTACAAACTTAATTTTTACTTACATAATGTTCAACTGGGGAAGATGCAGAAAAGGAGAATTTTGCTGCATATATTCATTCAGGCACAATGATTTCTTTATCTTGTACTGTGCTGCAGTAAAGCACAACACCAAGTTTGTCCTAGAAATCATATCCATTTTGCTGTGACAGGGCCCTGGTAGTTAAGTTAGGGAAGTCTCTTTATTTTTCAGACTGGGATGTGATATACATCATGGACATCCCCATCCTGGTAGCTAGTCACAAGGACTCACTTGGATGAAAAGGAGATGAGGAAATTTGGACTAGTTATGTGCCTGGAGTAAAGTGAAGTTGGTACTGGTGAACAGACTACCAGCCTGTGTGATGTGTGAGAACTATCTAATAGGGTATGATTTCATTCAGGCCTATCCATAGTACTCTGAAAAGAAACAAAAAAGCCTCTGAAGGTTGCCTTTTGGACACAATTCTTCCTGCATTCATCTTCATATGGTTTTTCTCCTAAGTGAATTATCTGATTCACTGTGAGGGTTTACTTTTGGGACTGTCTTCTTACCTTCACTACCCTCAATTGGTTTCTTGTGTATCTCTGATGTCAAAAGGGGTAATGTTTTTGTCAAAAGGATTTTCCAGTTATTACATCAATAGGGATTCCCCTCTCCCTGAATTTTCTGGTATATGCTTAGGGTTGACTTCTTTTTTTTTGAGATGGAGTTTTGCTCTTGTTACCCAGGCTGGAGTGCAATGGTGCGATCTCGGCTCACCACAACCTCCGCCTCCTGGGTTCAGGCAATTAGGGTTGATTTCTTATGTAATGTTCCATATTCAGTGCATTCATAAGATTTCTCCCTACTGTGAGTTCTTTGATGTATCCTGAGGTTTGATTTCTGACCAAAAGTTTTTCCACATTTACTACACTGAAAGGGTTTCTCCCCTGTGTGAATTCTCTGATGATCACTAAGGATTGCTTTCCGGACAAACTTTTTCCCACATTCATTACATTTAAATGGTTTCTCCCCAGTGTGAATTCTTTGATGCACTCTGAGGGTTGAGGTCCGGGCAAAAGTTTTCCCACATTCGTTACATTTGAATGGCTTCTCTCCCGTGTGAGTCTTCTGATGTTGAATGAGATGGTCTTTTCGCCAGAAGGATTTTTCACATTCGTTACATTGGTAAGTTTTCTCCCCAGTGTGAGTTCTCTGATGTATTCTGAGGTTTGACTTCTGGCCAAATGTTTTTCCACATTCATTACACTGAAAGGATTTCTCCCCTGTGTGAATTCTGTGATGATCTCTGAGAGTAGACTTCTGAACGAAAGTTTTCCCACATTCACTACATTTATAGGGTTTCTCTCCTGTGTGAATTCTTTGATGTCCCCTGAGGGTTGACTTCTGGACAAATGTTTTTCCACATTCAGTACATTTATAGGGTTTTTCTGCTGTGTGAATTCTCTGATGAGTACTGAGGTGTGACTTCTGGGAGAAAGTTTTTCCACATTCACTACATTCAAATGGTTTCTCTCCTGTGTGAGTTCTCTGATGTTGAATGAGATGTCCTTTCTGACAGAAGGATTTCCCACATTCATTACATTTATAGGGTTTTATCTTCAAGTGACTTTTCTGGTGAACTCTGTGAACTGACATCTGGTAGGATTTCTTATTTTCATGGTATTCAGAGGATTGAACCCAAGTCTGTGTTCTGTCACTACATACCACTGGATTCTCTTCTGTGACAGTCGTCTGAGGTTCAGTGAGGTGTGCCCTTCTGTTGAAATTATTTCCACTTGAATTTAATTCATAATGTTTCATACCCATGTTACATTTATTACATTCCTCCACAGTTGATTTCTCAAAGGATTTCCCGTATTGATTAAGATGAGGATGTTTCTCCCCTGTGCCAGTTCTCCTGTGGTCAAAGAGAGTTGTTTTATCACATTTTTTCCTAAATTCATCATCTTTACACGATTTTTCTTCTGTGTGAGGATTCTTATGTTTAACACAGCAAGTCTTATCATTAAAGGCTTTTGCAATTTTATTACATTTAAAAGCTTGCTCCAAAGTTTGAAACTTTGAATGCTTGGGAAGATTTTCATTATAACTGAGAGCTTTTGTATTTTTATTATATTCATAAAATTCCTCCCCAGTCTGAGTTTTCTCAAAGTTAATTTTGAAAGGTGAATTCTCACATACATTACAGCAACCTACTTTCTTGGTTGAATAGTTTCTGTTATTAATGATAAATTCAGAAATACTTTGCAAATTCACTCCCCATGAGTCACATTTGCAGGACATTTTTGTTGAAGCAACAGCAGCTACATGCAGAGTAAATGGTTTCCCCAAAACTTTCTCTTCCTCTCTAGTCAGTGTTTTATTATTGATACATACTACTTGCTGCAAGTGTTTGTCTTTGATGTTCGTGTTCTGCTTGATCAGGTCATCACCTCTGTAATCTTCTAAAACAGAAATATTGAAAACATCTTATGACTCTTACATCTTTTATGTGTAGGGCTTATCAACATTCAGCCTATGTTGCACTTAATTATTTGATTTCTTAAGATTAAATAATTCATATATATGTATGCATTAATATATATCTCAGAACACCCCCCTTTAAAAGTAATATTGGTTTAATGCAAATGGAAAAGGAAACTGGAAACAAATACACATTTTGCATGTGATTAATCAGATTTTCCTAACTGGGTTGATAGAAGAAAGAAAAGAAAACTTAAGAGTGTTATGGGGTGGTTATTTTAGAGAGCAGGAAAAATACATAATGGGATAAATACAACAAAAACCCTAAATGTAAGTAGTATAATAAGGAAAATCAGGAGATAACAGAATTTTTGGAATAGGCCCAACATGGAATGGGTTTAGAAGGAGAAAGTAAATTACACTCCAGGTCTTGACATTATCTAGATTATAATGGTTGGAATAGTTTATTGTCTACATTCTTACAATTTGATATCCCTCATCAGTTCTTCAACATCAAATTAAATTTATAACATAACCAACTCCCTTATGACTAAATAAAAAATGTTTATATCTCTGACCCATCTTATGATTGTGATTCATGGAAATACAAGCAAGTATAAAATTGCTGAAAATAAAATCCATTCTTGCAATCAACGTAGATGCCCTGCTTCACTCTGGCTGTCATACTGTTGATTTATTCCATCAGAACTAAGCAATAAGTGAACCTGATCATCGCATCCTAAGTTTCTACATTTCAATCTGACATGAGTGATACAATTTTAAATAGGGTATTACAGAATGTTTTACTGTGAAAATGACGTTTAAGAAAGGTATGGATCCTTCATGCATTCTAAATGCCTATCCTTGACAGGTCATATTGCAAATATCATCTGCCACTTTTTGCTTATCTCTTACACTTTATCAAGCATGAAACAATATCTGCTTGCATAAAACTTTCATGAGCAACTTAATAGTAGTAAGTGAACACTCATGGAATTAGAAACCATGTCATGAAATACAAATGGCTCTGAAAAAAATCCCTGTTTACCTCCGCTTGGTTACAAACTCTATATGTTTAGAATTCACCACTCTCCTAATACTTATGTAATCATTTCCTTGATTTTCTTTATAGTTTTATAACCAATATATGAATTCCTAAAAATGTAGTTGAATTTTGCCTGCTTCTGACACCTTTACATAAATATAACCATATATGCATATTTTTGTTTTCTTTTGCTTAAAATTATACTTATAATCAGTGCACAAGATTTTATGTGGCTGTATATTTTTTTCCTTAAAGAATACAACTATTTCTCCATTCTACTGTTGATGAGCACAATTTCTGCCAAACATAAACAATACTATCATTAATATTCTTTTATGTATTCCAGAGAACACAATCATATCTTTTTGTCGGTCATATGATTAGAAAAGGTATTGCTTGGCTACAGCGTATGCAAAAGTTTACCTTGATTAGAAAACATCTTCGTGGGATGCAGAGGCATAAGAATGATATAATGGACTTTGGGGACTTGGGGTGGTGAAAGGGTGGGAAGGAGGAGAGGGATAAACGACCACAAATTGGGTTCAGTGTATACTGCTTGGGTGATGGGTGCACCAAAATCTCGCATATCACCACTAAAGAACTTACACATGTAACTAAATACCACCTGTTCATCAAAAACCTATGGAAATTAAAAACAAATCCTCCTAATATCATAGTGGTTTTACCAGTTTATATTTCCAGTCAGTGGTTAAGGGTCTCTAATATTCCATATCCTCACCAAGACTTGGAATTGCTGTATTTGTTCATCTCACTTCACATCTGTTATTTCACCTCATATCTCACTTCATATACTATTTCATGCTCCATGAAAACTAATGAGATTGAACACATTTTCAAAAATTTACTGGCCATAGTAAAAAGTTCCTGTTCAATATTTTTGCACATTTTTCAGTTGGCTTGCCTACCTTTTACCATAATGACTTGTAGAAGTTCTTTATATTTTTCAGGAAGCATATTTTCTCTAAGTTATTTGCACTATATACACATTATGCTACTCGGTGGCTGTTTTCACCCTTTGAATACTATCTTTTATTAACAAATGTCTTACTTTTAATGGAATCAATTTTATTAATCATTTTCTTTTAACTGCTGCTTTTTGTGCCTTTAGGCTTTCTAAGAAAAGTCTTGGAATATTCAGGTGTTCACCTCTAAAGTGACCTGGAGTCTAACCACTCCTGCAGAACTCTGTTTACTGCTGCTCAATAACTCACTTGGGTGACTCTTGTTTGAGAATTCCTCCTCTGAGAACCAAGGCTCTGCTCCTTGCTCCAACTTGAAGATCACCTCTGGTTTGAAAAGGCAGTACCCTGTAAATAAAGAATAATCAAGGACTTAGGCCAGATATATGAAATTTTAGTCTCCAAAAGTAGGAGAAAATACAGTTTCAGAAGCAGTATCCTGAAAGTGCTCCTTTGCATTATCGTTGGGAGCTGACAATACATTTTTCCAGTCCTTGACAGGGCTTAGTTACTTCGGACTCTTGAATGAAAAGCCTAAATAACATTAAAATTTAAGTAAATTGTTCACATGTATTGGCACTTAAAAAAGAAATATTTTCCATATGGAGTTACAAGGGTAGGTTATGTTTACATGCTCACCCACTGAGACGAGGTGGCTGTAGTTCTCCAGCATCACATCTCTGTACAGATTCCTCTGAACAGGGGCCATTTGCTGCCACTCCTCCTGGGTGAATTCTATAGTCACATCCTTGAATGACACTGATTCCTGTAACAGTACATTTCTAGTCAATCTGAAGCATTCAGAATTAGATGATGTAGAAATCACCCATGAAATAAATTTGTATCATGTTTAACTCTAAAAAGCTTAAACAAATATAAAGGATGCCTACTTTGAATTTAATTTTATCTTATACTTTGAAAGTATTAAACTAGTAAAAGTTTTTATACGCCAGGTGCAGTGGCTCATGCCTGTAATCCCACCACTTTGGGAGGCCAAGGTGGGAGGATTGCTTGAGCCTAGGAGTTTAAGACCAGACTGGGCAACACAGCAAGGCCTTGTCTCTAAAAAATTTTAAAAATTAGCCAGGTATGGTGGTGTGTGGCTCTAGTCCCAGCTACTTGGGAGGCTGAGGCAGGAGGATCGCTTCAGCCTGGGAGGATGAGGCTGTAGTGGACCATGATCACACCACTGTATACCAGCCTTGGTGTCAGAGCAATACCTTGTCTCAAAGAAAATGTTTATAAATGATCCATATATATTCATGAGTTATATACATAGACGATAAACAGATACATTAGTAAAAGTTTTTTTTAATTCTTATTTTTGTAGCCAAAAAATGCAAGTAAACTTTCAACAATTTTTATTCCAACCCAATAGACTACCCTGGGCATACATCAGGGCAGGGATCAGCAAATTATGGCTTTTGGGCCAAATCTGACTTGCCAGTTTTTTGTTAATATGTGGTCTTTCTGTGTTGCCTATGCTAATCTTGAACTCCTGGCTTCAAGTGATCCTGCCACACTGGCCTCCAAAAGCTCTGGGATTTTAGGTGTGAGTCACTGCATGTGGCCACTTGCCATTTTTTAAATAAGGTGAATTGGCACATAGGCACACCCAATCATGTTGCATTGTTTGTGGCTGCTTTTGTGCTGAAATAACACTGAGAAGTTCCATCAGAGACTTTATGATTTTTAAAACTGAAAATATTTATTACTAGCCCTTTACAGAAAAAATTTACCAACCTCTGGACTAAATAATCAACTTAAAGTAAAGATAAAGAGAGGATAATACAACAACAAAGAAAACATGTTTTATACATATAGGGATTATGCAGATTGAAAACAAAAGGATGGAAAAAGACATACTATATAATCAAAACCAAAAGATAGTTGATATGATTGCATTTAGTATCATATACAGATTTTAAGGTAAGAAAGGGGTATAAAAAATCAGTAACAATTTGTAATGATAAAATGGTCCTTTCAATAGAAGATACAACAACCCAAAATTGGTATGCACCTGGCAAACATAGCTTCCCAATGTAATCATTTCTCATTATTCACAGATTACGTATTTGTAAATTTACATGCTAAAATTATTTGCAATCTCAAAATCAACACTCGTTGTTATTTTGCAGTCACTTTTGGACACATGCAGGAAGGTGAAAAGTTTGAATTGCCTGACCTACATGTTCCCAGATGAGGCTGAACACAGTGATCTTCTACTTTCTTGTTTCAGTTCTGATACTGTAAATAGGTGTTCATTTCTCAATCTATATAGTGCCATCTTTACTGCATTTTTGTGTTTTTCTTGATTATTTCACTTTTTAAATGGCCCATATGGATAGCACTTACATGCTTGCTGTCTAGTGTGCCTACATGCAAGAAGATTGTGATATGTCTCATGGAGAAAATATCTGTTAGATAAGGATCGTTCAGGCATTATTTATGGTGTTGTTGGCCATTAGTTCAATCTTTGTGTATCAACAATATTAAACAATGTGTCTTTATGCATAAAGATACAGAAAAACAAGATTTGTACTGACTGGTTGACAAAAATGTGACCAGAGGCTTAACCCTGTATTTCTCTGCTGAGCAGTGGTTCAGTATTTATTAGTTCAGTGTTTGTAGTGACTTTTGGGAACACTACTACTGAGAATAATGAGAACTGACTGTATATAAACAAAAGTTGACAGAAATGAGATACCAATATACAATTATAATTAGTGACTTTAATGTAACTCTCCCAGGAACTCATAGAAAAGCAGGTTAAAAAAAACGAGCAGGGATATAGAACAGGAGTCAGTGAACTATAGCACCAAGGTCAAACCCAGCTTACCACTACTGTTTTTTTTTTTTAAAAGAAACAGTAAAATTTTCATGGAACATAGCCACATTCAATTTTTTTGTTGTTGAGATGAAGTTTTGCTTTTGTTGCCCAGACTGGAGTGCAATGGCATGATCTCAGCTTATTGCAACCTCTGCCTCTAGGTTCCAGTGATTCTCTTGCCTCAGCCTCCTGAGTAGCTGGGTTACAGGCATGCACCACCACGTCTGGCTAATTTTGTATTTTTAGTAGAGATAGGGTTTCTCCATGTTGGTCAGGCTGGTCTTGAACTCCCGACGTCAGGTGATCCACCAACCTTGGCCTTCCAAAGTTGTAATCCCAACCTGGGATTACAGGCCTGAGCCACTGTGCCCAGTCCTCATTTGTTTATGTATTATCTATGGCTACTTAACATTACAGCTGCAGAGATTGGTAGTTGCAACAGAGACTGTCTCTCCCAAAGTCTACTCTCTGACATTTACACAAAAAGTTTTTTGACCACTGATATAGAAGATTGAAGACATAATTAACCAACCTGATGGACATATATAGAATAACCTCTGTATAACGTAACTCTCTGGTGTCCTTTGTACATTAAAAATAAAAGGCAGTCTATCTCACTAAATTGCAAAAAGTTAAAATCATACAGTGTAGTTTTAGATCTCAGCTCAGAGATGTAGAGAGCTGATAAAAGCAACGCTAACATCCTTACGAGAACAATGCGGGGCAAAGAGAAAATTAATATCCATTTTTTGAACTATTAGGAGAGAGATAGGTACCTGCCAGGAGAATCAGAACGTTGTCATTTGCTTACTGGAGCAGATACAACTCAACTCCGTCTAAGACAATTAGGAAGATAAAATTACTAGAAAAATTTAACAACCCGCTAAAGGCAAGTGTATACTAGTGTGAGCATGTGAAGTCTCCAGGAGCCATACACATAGGGGGATTTTCACCTTGCTACAGGATCAAACGGAAAGTCAAAAGAGAAATTACGCTGGGCACAGTGCTCACACCTGTAATCCCAGCACTTTAGGAGGCTGAGGCAGGCAGATCACTTGAGGTCAGGAGTTTGAGACCAGCCTAGCCAACATGGTGAAACACCGTCTCTACTAAAAATACAAAAATTAGCCAGGCGAGGTGGTGCATGGCCGTAATCCTAGCTACTTGCATGGCTGAGGCAGGAGAATCACTTGAACCCAGGAGGCAGAGGTTGCAGTGAGCTGAGATGGTGCCTCTGCACTCCGGCCTGGGTAACAATGCAAGACTCAGGTCTCAAAACAAACAAAACCCCAAAAACACAGAAATTAGAACATACATTAAGATTACTCACAATGAATAGACACAATACCAAAATGCATGTGATGCAGATAAAGCAGGGCTAAGCATGAAATTTATAGCTATAATACCTATATTAAAAACAATCCCAAATCAGTATCCTAGTTGTACACTTGAAGGAACTAAATGAGATAGGGAGTTTACTATTAACCTCACAGAAATGAAAAAGTAAAAGAACACAATGAACTGCATAGCAACAAATCACATAACTTAGATGAAATGGACAAATTCTTAGAAACACACAAACCACCAAAATGGACTCAAAGAAAAACAGAACATCCAAGCAGACTCATATAAGAAGATTGAATCAGTAATCCAAATCCTCCCAACAAAGAAAGGCTCAAGACCAACTGGTTGGTCTTTAAATGTTTGGTGAATTCTACTCATACTATAAGTTACCTTGAACCAAAGCCAGATAAAGAAATCACCCAAAAACTATCATCAATATCCCTTCTGAAAATGTGTTTTCAACAATATACTAGCAAACCAAATTTTGCAACAAATAAAAAGGACTACACACCGTGACCAAGTACAATTTAATTCCAGGAATGCAAGGTAGCTCACCATAAGAAAATAAATCAGTGTAATATATCACAATAATAAAATGAAAAAAATCACATGATCATCTCAACTGATGCAGAAAAAGCATTTGACAAAAACATCCTTTCAAGATTAAAACATTTAACATAGTAGGAATAGAAGAGAACTCCCGCAACACAATAAAAAACATTTCTGAAAAACCACAGCTCACATAACACACTAGGCTAAAAAACAGGAAGATTTCTTCCAAATATCAGGAATAAGATGGGGATGCCTCTGCTTTCATCATTTCTTTTTTTTTTTTGAGATGGAGTCTCGCTCCAGGCTGGATTGCAGTGTCACAATCTTAGCTCACTGCAACCTCTGCCTCCCAGGTTTAAGCAATTCTCTTGCCTCAGCCTCCCAAATAGCTGGGACTACAGGTGTGTACCACCACACCCAGCTAATTGTTGTATTTTTAGTAGAGAAGGGATTTCACCATGTTGGATGTTGGTCAGGATGGTGTTCTTGTGATCTGCCTGCCTTGGCCTCCCAAAGTGCTGGGATCACAGGCCACTGTATGTCGCCTGCTTTCATCATTTCTATTCATTATACTGGAAGTTCTAGCTAGAGCAAATAGGTAAGACAAAGAAAAAAATGCATCGAAATTAAAAAGAAAAAAGTAAAACTCTCTCTACTCATAGACCATGAGATTTAATATATGGAAAGGACTAAGGAAGAGACAAAAAACTACTAGAGCCAATAAATATATTCAGTAAAACTGTAGGATACAAGATGAACACACAAGAATTATTTATCTCTCTGAACACCAGCAATGAATAGTAAAAAAGAAAAGAATTTCATTTACAACAGAGCAAAAAATAATGAAATAGGAATATATTTAACCAAGAACATACATGACTTATATGTGAACACTAGAAAACACTGCTAAAAGAAATTCAGAAGACATAAGTAAATGGAAAGACACCCTGTGTTCATGGATTAGAAGATTTAATATTAAGATGATAATACTCCCAAAAGTGATCTACAGATTCAGTGAATCTATATCAAAATCCAAATGGCCTTTCTGCAGAAATCTTGAACCTACAATTTATATGAAATTGCAGAGGAACCTGAATAGTCAAAACAATCTAGAAAAATAGAAAAAAATTGGAGGGATTACACTTCCTGATTTTAAAACTTATTATAAAGCAACAGTAATCAAGACAGTGTGATACTGGCATAAATACAGACATACGAATCCATAGACTAGCACTGAGAGCCCAGAAATAAACCCATACCTTGACCATTTATTGGAGAAAAAATAGTTTTCAACAGATTTTTTTCCTAATAAATGGTCAAGTAATTATCCCTAATAAGTGGGGTAACTGAAGCTCATCCAAAGAATGAAGTTGGACTCTTACCTCATACCATATTTTTTTTTTTTTGAGATGGAGTTTTGCTCTTGTTACCTAGCTGGAGTGCAATGGCGCGATCTCGGCTCACCGCAACCTCCGCCTCCTGGGTTCAGGCAATTCTCCTGCCTCAGCCTCCCGAGTAGCTGGGATTACAGGCACGCGCCATCACGCCCAGCTAATTTTTTGCATTCTTAGTAGAGACGGGGTTTCACCATGTTGACCAGAATGGTCTCGATCTCTTGACCTCGTGATCCACCCACCTCGGCCTCCCAAAGTGCTGGGATTACAGGCTTGAGCCACCGCGCCTGGCCTCATACCATATTTTAAAATTGCCTCACAGTAGCCAGGCATGGTGGCTCACACCTGTAATCCCAGCACTTTGGGAGGCTGAGGTGGGCGGATCACCTGAGGTCAGGAGGTCGAGACAAGCCTGGCCAACATGGTGACACCTCGTCTCTACTAAAAAAAGAAAAAGAAAAATTAGCCAGGCGTGATGGTGAGTAACTGTACTCCCAGCTACTCGGGAGGCTAAGGCAGGAGAACTGCTTGAACATGTGAGGGCAGAGGTTGCAGTAAGCCAAGTCTGTGCCACTGCACTCTAGCCTGGGCACATTCAGTCACAAAAAAAAAAAAAAAGAAAAGAAATAGTCACAAAGATCACATATATGACTTCACCTATTAGAAATGTCCAGAATAGCCAAATGTATAGAAACAGAACACAAATTAGTTGTTGTTTAGGGCTGAGATCGTGTATGTCAGGATAGGGGATGATAGCTAAATGATAGGAAATTTTTTTTTGAAGTGATAGACTAAAACCCACAAAACTGTACACTTTAAAAGTGTGAGTTATATGGTATGTGAATTGTATTTTCATAAAACTGTTACCAAAAAAAGGACACTAGAATAAATAGGATAATTTGGATTTTCTATATCCTATTAAAGAAACTGAATTCATGAGTAAAAACCAGGAACAAGAAAAACTCCAAGGCTAGACTACCTCATAGGTATATTTTTCCAAACATTTAAGGAAGGAATAACAGCAATCTTAAACTCATTCAGAGAACAGAAAGTGAATACCTGTTCCCAAACTCATTTTTTGAGAACATAATGTTGACGCCAAAACCTGACATTACATGACAGCAAAACTGCAAGCCAGTATCTCTCCATTAATGCAGATACAAAAATAATTCTTTACTGCAAAAAAAATTTTGTACATTTAAAATCCAAAAATATCCACAGATAAGCTATTAGAATGAATAAATTTTATAAAATGCCTAGGTATAATATGAATACTAAAAAATTTATTGTATTTTAATAAACTAACAATAAAGTGGAAAATTACATTTAAAAAGCAGTTATTTGTGCTATTATCAAAATACATCAAATACCTAGGAATAAATCTAATAAAAAATATGAAAGACTTCACCTCTACTCTGAAAAACTTTCTGTCAGGATTTTCTATGAAAACTCATAAAATATCCATGAACATAAAAAGGACCTAAAACAGTAAATAAATTCACTATAAATTCCTGACTTACTACAAAGGAACAGTAATTATGACAATGAAATACTTGCAAAAAGATCAAATAATTGGACCAAAGGAAGAAAACATACAGTCTACATTAGACCTGCATACAGGTCATTTGACTGACAAAAGACACAACTGCAGTTCAGTTGACAGAGGATGGTCTTCCCGACAAATGGTGCTAGAGCAACTGTATATCCATATGGAAATATGAACCATGACACTCACCTTATACCAAACAGAAAATCTTACTCTATGTGCGTCAAGCTAAAATAAACAAGGATGTAGTAACAATAAAGGAGAATATCTGTATGATCTTCGAGTAGGGAAAGAGCTTTCAAATATGGTACACAAGGAACTGCCATTGAAGAAAAGACAATTCTGACCTTTATTAAAGGTAAAAACTTTGTTGTCAAAGATATTGTTTAAAAAATGAATAGGCAAGCCACAGAATCCAAGAACATTAGTAATGCATGCATGGCAAAAAACATGTTCTGATAATATTGAAATAATTTCTACTTAAAAGCAAATAACCCAATTAAAACTGAGTTGAGTACGTACTTTACATAATACGTAAAAGGAAAGGATGTCTAAATGGCAGCAATGGTGCCCAACATCAGTATTCATCAAAGAAAAGCAAATTATAAATTCTAATGAGATACCACACTATATAGCTACCAGAATAGCTAAAAACAAAAAGATTGATAGTAACACGTGTTGGTCAGAATCTGGTACAGCTAGAATGCTAGTGGGAATGTAAACTGATACAACTATTTAGGCAAGCTACTCATAGTATCTATTAAAGCTGAACATATGTTTATTCTATGAAGCAGCAATTTCGTTTCTAGGTATATCCCAAAAGCAATGAGGACATATCAAAAGACACAAAAGAATATGCACAGCAGCCTTACTCCTGATAGCCTCAAACAGGAAAAACAAATGAAAAGAAAATGCACTAAGAGGAGAATGTGGAAATAAATTATGGTCTATTCAAATAATGAAATACAGCCCAGCGGTAACAGGGAAATATTAAGATATATAGCAACACTGATGAATCTAAAAAATGTTATGTAAAGTCAGACCTCCCACTCCCTTGAAAACTGAAAAAGAGTACACTTTGTATGATTTCACTGGTACAGTATTAAAAAATGAATTTATCTTTTTTCCTAACATGTGAGGTCAGAATAGTGGTTGTCCTTATAGAGGGAAGCAGTGGTTATCTTAATCTGGGTGCTAAATTGCATGAATATACATATGTAAAAATCCATCCAGTTACACACTTAAGAGTACACTTTACTAGTATTACAACTGTATCTCAGTTAAAGAACTAAGTTTTAAAAAGGAAAGAAGAGGCATTACAAGAGAAAGAAAAATCTAACAAAACATATATAGTTGGTAATTTGGGAAGGTGGGAACCTTCCATATATATAATAATATATTTATATTTTATTTCTTTGTATCTTTTTATATTTGAACAAATTCTGAATTCCTTACAGGAAAAAGAAATTTGAACATAGACTCGTACAGAGGAAAGATGAAGTGAGAACAGACATCTAAGCCACAGAATGAGGCCCTTCCCTCACAACTCTCAGAACCAAACCTGTTGACATCCCTTTTTTTTTTTAAATGAGACAGAGTCTCACACTGTCACCCAGGCTGGAGTGCAGTAACGTGATCTCGGCTCACTGCAATCTCCACCTCCCAGGTTCAACTGATTCTCCTGCCTCAGCCTTCCAAGCAGCTGGGATTATAGGGGCCTACCATCATGCCCGGATAACTTATGTATTTTTAGTAGAGATGGGGTTTCACCATGTTGGCCAGGCTGGTTTTGAACTCCTAGCCTCAAGTGATCACTCACCTTGGCCTTCCAAAGTGTTGGGATTACAGGCATGAGCCACCGTGCCTGGCCCCTGTTGACATCTTGATCTCAGACTTCTGGGTTTCAGAATGGTGGGAAAATAAATTGGTGTTTAATCTACCCAGTCTGTGATTCTTTATTATGGCAGCCCTAGTGAACTAATACCCCTAGTCTGGCTCTAACCTTTATCTGTATCCCCTCTCTTATTATCCCTAAGAGGAAGTTCAAATTGCAAGGGGCAAAGATTCTTACTGGAGCTTGCATGCCTTGTTTAGCCCGCTCTCAAATTGCAGTAACCTCCAATACTGCAACAACAAAAACCTCACCCATTTTTCAGGACAAAATCCTTTTAAACACTCCACCTCTGGTCATTGGAGCCTACACCACCAGTTTGTCCTTTCTTTGACAATCTGTCTACCTGAACCTGTGTTTTCACTACCTGAAAAACTGTACTAATGACAGCCTGAGTTTGGCACTAAACCCTCTAAGTCCACTGAGGAAAAAGCAGAAACAACATACTGCATTTATTTCAGGGCTGTTATTAGAAAGATTTGCACTGACACTTACATGAAGACCAACAAAGACATTTTCCCTGACTTTGATAACTCTAGATTCCATGAGGAATCAGTCCTGTTTAAGCTTCTCATCAATGCAAATCTGGAAACAAATATTGTCTGTCTGACTCTCTGCCATGGCTATCAGAAATAATGAAAACAGCAGTTCCATTTTGGAAAATCTGTTAACATCAGGGGACCTGCACCTTTCCATGTGCCAATTCTGCTGTGCTATTGCCCTGCTTTTCTATACATTCCTTGGGTGATTTTAATCTATTTCTACATTTCCACATTCATATGTGGACTCTTAAACACCTATAAAATCCATGATGAAAAGGTATTAGTTAGTAAATAACTCACCTGAGATATGTTCATTTTCTGCTGCTCCTCGAAGAGTGTGGAGAAGCGTAAAGGATAACCTGAAGGTGAGGAAGGAGTCATGAGAGATCTGGGCAGCCTCTATCTTACCTGCCTACCAACGTCATCACACCAGCTGGGGAAAAGAGCTCTCTACAAAAAAAGTTCCTTTGACCCTTAAGAAGGGACAGAAAGCACTAAAGAGAAAGCACCCCTTAAATATGTGCATCTTTAATATCATGTGGATGAGACCTTGCTGGTTTTTTTTTTTTTTTTTTTTTTTTGAGACAGGATCTGGCTCTATTGCCCAGGCTGGAGTGGAGTGGCATGACCTCAGCTCACTGCAACCTCCACCTCCCAGGTTCAAGCAAGTTTCCCACCTCAGCCTCCTGAGTAGCTGGGACCACAGGCACCCGTGACCATGCCTGGGTAATTTTTATATTTTTTTTATAGAGACAGGGTTTCGCCATATTGCCCAGGGAGGTCTCAAAACTCCTGACCTCAAGCAGTCTGCCCACTTTGGCCAACGAAAATGCTAGGATTGTAGGGGTGAGCCACTTGCTGTTTTTCATCAGGTGATTGTAGATTGTTTTCATATTGATTTATTTAAAATGTATGTCTTTTGTGACTAATTAGCAAAACACTAAAACAGGATTACCATTCATATTCTGTTAATATTTACACCAACAGAAAACACAAAACTGAAAAAAAAGGCTATTTTAAAATCTTTTTGTTCTAATTTATAGTCTCTCAAAAATACTTTCGATAAGATACTTCTGGGGATTCACCTGTGACAGAGTGAACAGCACTGTGCTTTGCTTCAAGCTCTGTCCTTTGTGACCACGGACAAAACCATTCATCCTAGGTTCAATACTTTTTTAAGGTTTTAAAAGAGTCAGAAATAGCCTTTCCTGTATTATCATTTTGTGATTCTACAGGTTCAGGATAGAAGCAACCTTAGTAAATCTCTAGATGCTACATGTGATGGATGTTGTGTGAAAGTGATTCAGAATCTGGAAAGTGTGAGTCAAGAACGGAAAAAAAAAATGGGGCTCTGTGAGGAGGATTAGAGACAGAATTAGAGACAGCCCTGGCTGGTTAAGCCTTCCTTGGAGACCATGGAGAAAAGCCCTCCAGTAGTAATGTGGCTTTTCCTGTGCAGCCTGAAGGTCACCCATCCCTCTCCACCCCAGCTCACCACCTTCTGCAAGTTGGCCCACAGAGTTCAGTGTCACACAACCTGTGATGGCTTCTGGATGTGGCGACATCACCAAGTCTTGTGCTCTCTAGGCAAGGGTTTGAAGACCTGCTGCTGGTGTGACAAATCAAGATCTGCTCCTTTCTGGGTTCTGCATCTGTTCAGAAGCCCTGGTGAGGAGGTTTCCATCAGAGGGCAGTTCTTTGGCGGAACTCCTGTTCCTGGGACTCCCTCCTTCCTGTAACACAAAGAGCTGATTTGCTCCAGAGAAGCTGGGGCTGAGGCCTGGGTAACAAATTCATTTTAGCTGAAACCTCCATGGAAAGCAGTGTTCTTCACCTCAGTATGACTAACATTTTGGGCTGGACAATTCTCTGACATAGGGAGTGGTTCTGTGCATTGTAGGATGTTTAGAAGCATTTCTAAACATGCACTAGACACAAGGACATCCCTTCTTCCTGTTGTGACAATCAAAAATGTCTCCAGGTCGGGTGTGGTGGCTCACACCTGTAATCCCAGCACTTTGGGAGGTCAAGAGTTCCAGACCAGCCTGGTCAACATGGTAAAACCCCATCTTTACTAAAAATACAAAAAGTTAGCCAGGCATGGCAGTGCATGCTCAGGAGTTACTCAGGAGGCTGCAGCAGGAGAGCTGCTTGAACCTGGGAGGCACAGGTTGCAGTGAGTGGAGATCATGCCACAGCACTCCAGCCTGGGCAACAGAGCAAGACTCAGTCTCAAAAAAAAAAAAAGTCTCCAGACATTTCCAAAGTTCCCTGGGGAACAAAATCTTCCTGGTTAAGAACCACTGATGTAAGGCCTTAAACCTGATTCTCTTGGCATTCATTAGAACCTGCTATCCATGACTACAGCCTCCAGTCACATCAACTACTGAGCACTTGAAATGTGGCCAGGACCACATGTTGAAATAAAATTTTGGATACAGTGAGAAAACCACAGAAAGTTCTTAAAATTAATTTCATGTTTTAGATTTTCATGTAGCTACTAGTTTAACATTTGAAATTACTCATGTGACTCAATTTCACTGCCCTAGAATATCAGACCGACTTCTAAAGACAGAGACAGCAGGGACAGCACAGGAGGTGGCAGGAGCTTCAGTCTAACCGAAAGGCTCTGGAGACATCCCAGAAATCCCACAACAAATACACTTGCCATATAGTAAGATTCTGTCCACGTTGACTTCACAATCATGGTCCTGGGGTTTTGGGGACAAGTCATTCACCTAGTGCTGTGAAGGGTGCAAGGCTGTGTTAGGTAGGTAGGCCGTTACAAACAGCCTGATTTGAGGAGTAAAGCGTATCTGTATTGGCATCCTAGCTCCCTCATCGTTTGTGAGCTCACCTCTCCTTCATTTTTAAAGATATAAACAGGGTGGTTGTGAGAATTAAACGAAATGCTACATGAAAAGAACAAAGTGTCTTCCAAAAACGATGGGAATCTACCTTTACATGCTGCTTAGTAGCTAGCACTTAGCTAAATGCTTTACAGGTGATGCCTTATCTCTGAATATCACAAAGCAGTTTTCACTAATATCCTCATTTTCAAACGCTCAAGTGACAGAGCCAAAATTCACCAGGTCCTTCTAGCTCGTAGGCTCGGGCTTTCAACACAGACCCACGGGGCGTACGCGCTTTGTGGCAGGTTCATGGTCAATATAATAAACGCGCATTCCCCTACTGTCGCCAGCACCGCGTTTCCTGACGCCTGGCTGCACTCTGGCACCCACACCTCAGCCCGCACCGAGCATCTTCCAAAAGGACTCAGCCCCTCCGGCCCTTCTCAGGCTGAGGTCCGGGCCCACCCCGGGCACTGGGAGCGAAAGGCCTGCTTTTGGGGGAGTTCCCGGGACGCCGCGTTCCCACCCCCTGCAGCCCATCCCTCCCTGCAGGTCCGCAAGCCGCGGGGAGGTCCGACGCTCTCACCTGAGCTGCAAATCCTCCGAACTGTCAAACACCGAGAGGGGATAGCTGGAAAGGTGGGCTGACTGCACATGCGCAGACGAAAACGCAGCGTATCCGTTCCCAGCATGCTGCGCGGTATCTCGTAACTTGCAAGGCTGCGTTTCTGGTAAGTCGGGCCCCCGCTCCCGGTGTTTTTGTTTTTGTTTCTGTTTCTCCAGTAAGATTTACGGAGTAATAACATGGACTGTCCTGGTAACCGGAGCCTGGGTTCTGTCAGAGCCCCAGAGGTTGTGGGTTAGACTTGATGACATAACAGCAAATGCAGCGTGTGGTTGCAGAAAACAGGAGCCGTGGAAGACGTTTGAAAACAATTGGGAAAAGGCCGGGCGCGGTGGCTCATGCCTGTAATCAGCACTTTGGGAGGCCGAGGCGGGTGGATCATGAGGTCAAGAGATTAAGACCATCCTGGTCAATATGGTGAAACCCCGTCTCTACTACAAATACAAAAATTAGCTGGGCATGGTGGTGCGTGCCTGTAATCCCAGCTTCTCAGGAGGCTGAGGCAGGAGAATTGCCTGAACCCAGGAGGCGGATGTTGCGGTGAGCCGAGATCGCGCCATTGCACTCCAGCCTGGGTAACAAGAGCGAAACTCCATCTCAAAAAAGAAAAGAAAAGAAAAAAAAAAAAAAAAAAAAACAATTGGGAAAATGTGTATACGGACTGGAAATTAGAATTTTTTCTTTTTTGAGGCGGAGTTTCGCTCTCGTTACCCATTAGTAGAGACGGGGTTTCACCATATTGACCAGGATGGTCTTAATCTCTTGACCTCGTGATCCACCCGCCTCAGCCTCCCAAAGTGCTGGGATTACAGGCTTGAGCCACCGCGCCCGGCCTGGAAATTAGAATTATTAAGGAAAGTAACTGTGGCAGCATTGAGATCATGTAGGTTATCTTGCTTATTCATAAAGAGATGTATATTTAAGTGTTTAGGGTCGTATTATGTTTGTAAGTTTTGGGTTTTTTTTTTTTTTTTCAATGAGACGGAGTCTCGCTCTGTCGTCCAGGCTGGAGTGCAGTGGCGCGATCTCAGCAACTGCAACCTCTGCCTCCTGGGTTCAAGCAGTTCTCCTGCCTCAGCCTCCCGAGTAGCTGGGACTACAGGCGCGCGCCACCATGCCCAGCTAATTTTTGTATTTTTAGTAGAGACGGGGTTTCACCATGTTGTCCAGGCTGGTCTCGAACTCTTGAGGCCTCAAGTGATCTGCCCGCCTCCGCCTCCCAAAGTACTGGGTTTACAGGTGTGAGTTACCACACCCGGCCCATTAGTCAGTTCTTTTTAAAAATAATTTTAAAATGGCAAGTATGGCAAAATGTTAAGAATATCTACTTCTATAACATGGTTGTGCTTATTGACTATGTGTTGGAAATTTTTGTAATATAAAGTTTATAAAGGGAAAACTTTGGATTGTCATGTTACAAGTGTGCCTTTTAACTTACAGCTGCCACAAAAATCTATAAACAGCTCTGTGAATAAAGCAGTAAAATGTAACAAATACTAGAAAATGGAATCCATTGTTAACATAAAAGAATAATATTTGTGATCCTCAGAGTTTATCTCTGGGAAAAAGGAGAAAAAGCAAGTAAGCTGTTCAGTATTACATAATACCTGAACTATACACAATCCCAAGTAAGAAAACCATTATCCACAAATTATGCATCTTCTAGAAACGAGCTTGCTTAAACCTCATGTGGTACTTCTGAAATCAGGAACCAAATTAGGAACCTCTCAGCACTGTTATTTTATGACTCTTTTTAGTAACACGCACTCACACACATGGTTGATACTTTCTAACAGGTTATCTTATATGGCAAGAAGAATAAGTTTTGATTAGCAAGAAAAAAGGGATTAATGGTAGAAGTAAACTAGTGCACTATATGTGAATCAAGGTATAAAACTTTACTGTTGACACTGAAAAACACTAATAGATAGTGGAGGAAAAGGCTAACATTTGTTTTTAAAAAATTCTAATCATTCTAGGTTTTCTAACTATATTTTTTTCTTTTTGACATTTACACATTTGTTTTCCTAAAGAAACTATTCCAACCTTCACTTTAATAACTTACAGTAATGATCAGAAAAGAATTGAAAATGCGTAGCAGCATCTCTATATTTACTATATATATTATCACTAAATATTTAAAAATTTATCCTGGTGCAGTAAAAGTGCAACTGCAAGAAAAAGAACGTAGTATGTATCGTTAAAGCAGTGGAAAGAGAACCTTCAGTAACCTCATTAGAACAATGAGAGGCTCTGCAACAAAGTAAGGACTTATCCATGGCACTAACATTATAATCGATAATTTTCACAAGGATTCATTCAACACTAAGCAATAAAACAATCTCTAAATTTAAAAATTTTAAATTTCTTAAGTTTTTAAGAAAAACAAGTGTTTTAAAAAGATAAACGCTTCCATTCCTTTCCAAGGAAAGTCTCACCCTTCATTTGTCTCTGAAGGCCGAGACCTTGCCTGGTGCCGGCAGAACTGCTCTCCACAACTTCCAAGTTTGGCGCTGTGTGTGTAGGTGCAGCAACTAATACATGTTTGCAGTGAGGTGGGTTTTTTTTGAGACAGGGTCTCACCATATCACTGAGGTTGGAGTGCAGTGGTGTGATGATGGCTCATTGCAGCTTGGACTTCCTGGGCTCAAGTGATCCTCCCACCTCAGCCTCCCAAGTAGCTAAGTTTTAGCCTTTCTTCTTTCCCTTCCTTTTCTCCTTCCCTTCCTCTTCCTCTATCCTTTCCTTTTTTTTTTTTTTTTTTTTCTTTTCTTGTGCCATGTTGCCCAGGCATGTCTCAAAATCCTGGGCTCAGTTGATCCACCCACCTTGGCCTCCCAAAGGGCTGGGACTACAGGCACAAGCCACCATGACTGGCCTGCAGTGAGATATTTTGAGACAATGAAACATCATGTTTCTCTTTAAGTATCACTCACTAACTTAGTAGTGTTTATTTATTCACCTGTGGAAGGGCAGCTGGTGGTTTCCAATTTTTGACAATTTTGAATAATAACCCTGTAACATAAGATTCACACACAGGCTTTTATATAAAAATAAAATTTCAATTCATTTAAAAAAATCATTCTTCTTTGTGTTGCCGGATATATCTGTTCTTTTTCAGATATATTGTTTGAATTACTCTAGTTTTATAGAAAGCCTTGAAATCTCATAAATTCTCCAATTTTGTTTTTCTTTTTAAGAATTGTTTTGGCTATTCTAGTTTCTTGGCCTTTCCATGGATGTTTTAGAATCAGCCTGTTGACATCTACAAAAAGATTGCTGAGATTTGGGAGAGCTGGCTATATTCACTGTTGGTAAATAGGAATAAGATGACTTTTGTATATTGACCTTATATCCTCAAAGCTTAATAAACTTGCTTATTAATTAAATAAGGATTTTTTGGTACATTGTTTGGAATGTTCTACATATATAATCATTTTGTCTGCAAATAGTGACCACTTGTTTCTTCTTTTCAGACTGTATGATTTTCTTTCTTTCTGTTCCTTTATTTTACTGGTCAAGACTTGTAGGATGATGTTGAACAGAAGTACTGAGAGAGCATTGCTATCTTAATCTGTTTTGGGCTGCTATAATGGAATATCTCAGGCTAAGTTTCTTTTTTAGCAAGTACAGAAGTTTATTTTTAGTGGTTCTGGAGCTTGTGAAGTTCAAGATAAGGCCCTGGCATGTTTGGTGTCTGATAAGGTTCTGGCCCCTGCTTCCAAGATGGCATCTTGAATGCTACATCTTTGGGGGATGGGGTGGGATGAGGAACAGAATGCTCTTCCTCACATGGCAGAAGAGAGAAAGGGGCACGAGAGTGCCAAACTTGCCTTTTTATAATAGTACCAGTCCTGCACGTGAAGGTGATACCCTTGTGGCCTAATCACCCCTTGAAGTTGAAAATACACAGCAGTCTCTCTTAAAATTGCTACAATGGCAATTAAATTTTCATATGAATTATGGAGAAAAACAAACATTAAAACCATAGGAGTTGCCTTACTCAGCTCATCATTAAATGTGATGTTAGCTATAAGTTTTTGTAAATACCCTACATTAGAAGTTTCTCCTATTATTAATTAGCTAAGAGATTTTACAACAGATATATGTTGAATTGTGTCAAATACCTGTCCTACACCTATTGATATGATCAAATGGCTATTTTTATTTATTCTGTTAATATTGTGAATTACATTCATTGATTAAAAAATTTTTCCTCATGGTAAAATACAAAAATATAAAACTTACAATTTTAATCATTTTTGAGTTCACAATTTAGTGGTAAAAAGCCTATTCACATTCTTATATGACCATTAACACTATCTGTCCCCAGAACCTTTCATCGACCCAACTGAAACTTCATACCCATTGAACAACTCCCCATTCCTGCCTCCCCTAACTCCTCTGTAAACACTAGTCTACTTACTTTCACTATGAATTGTAGGTACCTCATTTAAGAGTTATCATAAAATATTTGTCATTTTGTGTCTAGTTTATTTCACTTAGCAAATGTCCTCAAGGTTTATCCATGTTGTAATAACATATATCGGAATTTCATTATGTTTTAAGGCTGAGTAATATATTATTCCATTATATGTATATATCGTATTTTGTTTATCCATCTGTCAGTGAACATTTGGGTCATTTCCATCTTTTGACTATTATTAGTAATGTTATTATGGACATTGGTGTAAAAATATTTGTTTGAGTCCCTGTGTATTAATCTGTTTTCATACTGCTATAAAGAAATACCCAAGGCTGGGTAATTTGTAAAGGAAAGAGGTTTATTTGGCTCACAGTTCCATATGGCTAGGGAGGCCGCAGGAAACTTACATAGTGGAAGGTGAAGGGGAAGCAAGAACGTGGCGGCAGGAGAGAGAAAAGCACAGGAAAAACTGTCATTTATAAAACCATCAGATGGCCTGAGAATACTCACTCTCACAAGAACAGCATGCGGGAAACCTCCCCCATAATTCAGTTACTTGCCACCAGGTATCTCCCTCAATACCTGGGGATTACAATTCAAGATGAGCTTTGGGTGGGGACACAAAGCTTAACTATATCATGCTGCTTTCAGTTATTTTGGGTATATAT